AAACGACCTGCTCCCTAACATTGACCAAATCAGGCGATGACATCCCGTGATTGAACGTCTACCAGATATTTTAAAAGAAGACAATGTAATGATACTTTCCTGAAAAAAGCAAGGAAATTGACACATTGCTTCATACTTTATTTTGTACCAGAAAATAACATGTGCAGGTATAGCAATTTTTTACAAAAATGTTACTTTCCAGCTGTACCTTAATTCACCCTCCTCCACTCTCTGTCATCCATAGAAAATAGTATTTTTCCTTGGTATACAGAGAGCAGAGTAGATTTTCATTTCGATCAATTCTTCAATTGTATCAGATGCTGGCACAGTTTTGCCGGAAGTTTGCAAGAAGTAACTTTTGGCAATGCAGTATGTTAGAGCAACCTAGTAGGTGTAAGAAAATATAAGGTGATGGCCTTTAAAGTGGTAAAAACAATTTTCACGGCCGAATTGGACTTCAATTCCTGCGATTTCAGGGGGTACTATAAGACTATTTCATAACATAAAGGATATAGTTGCTATTGTTCTGCTTTCTACAGCACACATTACTAGTCCAAAGATGAATAATATCCTAAAGTTATAGGCCGATATCTGTATTAGTCTCAGAAATATTGCAATTAATAGGAAAAAATATGCAATTTTTGTCATTTTTAAGTCTCACGTATCTTATATTTGTAGCTTCCAGCAAAAGATGGCAGCTTAAATAGCTCAAAATTGTTTTCTAAAAACTAATTCAAGCTTTGTTTAATATTGTAATACAATTATAATAATGATAATGTACTGTTTATGATTTTTAATATGACTTTATAGTACCCTACCCCTGGAAAGTGGGCGTGGTCAATGTTATCATTTTGCAGCATACAATTAAAAACTTGTATTGATAGAAAGCAAATCAATGCATATAAAACATCTTCACTTGTTACTTGACAATGTAATTCATTTATTATTAAAATATAGGACTCTACATATTTTATATATATGATTTCAATTTTGTACAATGTATCATAATGAAATCTAATAGGCTGTTTCAATTTACCAACTTTTTCTCGGATCACCCTTACCTTTTGACAAAACGATCTACTATATGACCAATAGCCACAAAAAATAGCAGAACTGATCAAAGTTTAAACCCCCCCCCCCCCTACCCCTATGTCTGTTTTGTATGGGGTCCGCCACAATGCAACAAGTCCATTTTCAGTGCTTACTATCACATGGAATATAAGTCACAATGTTTCCACAATATCTGGGCAATGAGATAGTGCCATTAAGAATATGTATGCCCAGATTCAAGATCATGGTGTAAATGCTTGCCGATCTATCAGCTTTCAAAAATGAGGAAAGCTGTCTTGAGTGCCGTTTCAACTAATTTTGAATTAAAACTGCTACTTATGATTTTTTTTCTCAACAACTGTGATTTGGTTAGAGTTCAAACACAGGATATCAAGACATAGTGCTACCAAATTCTGGTATTGAAAATTTCAGAGCTCTAGATCAAATATTCATATCTGCATGGACTCTTAAAAAGACCCAAAAGACACAAAATTCAGTCAGATATCGCGAAAAAAATGTGATAAAATGCACTATTCAGAACAATTTATCTCTTAAATTTTACTTTTATTTACCATAATTTCTGATTCTGCCTCTAGTTAGTAATACCAATAATACATATGAGTAGACTTAAGGTCATAGTAAGTGTAGTTACAGATTTATTAGCATCTAAAAATGGGAGAAGCAGTGTAGCAAGTGCAATTTTTACCTATAATTCATAATATTAATCTGCAGCTTTCAGGATTTTCTTCTCTAAAACTAGAATTCTGTGAGACCCCAAAAGACAGGATTCCATATCACTGTACCACCAAATATATATGAGAGTAGTTTCAGGAGGTTACTGTACGCCCGGTATTATTCGCGAGCTTTAATTTCGCGAATTTTGCGAAAACACGGTTTCGCGGCTATTAAATTTCGCGAATACTGTATTTTATCGTATTCGGGGATTCCCCAGTATATGATGTCCAATCAAATTGCAGGCTACAATCACGTGAACAATCGTGCGCACGTGCTCTTTCATTGCCGCGCATGCGCATAGTAAAGTCATGGAGTTGCACAGTACTATTGAAGTACTATAACTCGATCCAAACTAGTAGACAAAACGAAATGCATCAGAGCCCCGGGTAAAAACAAATTCCCGGGGATTTAATTGGCAATTTCGTGACGATAATTTTTCGCGATTTTAACACCCTCGCGAAAAGCGCAAAAGTTAATCGCACACGAATAATACCGGGCATACAGTATATCAAATAATCATTGAACCATTGACACCTAAAAATATGCAAAATACAGTCAGAAATGGTGAAATTGTGATTGTGAAAAAATGTATGTATTCTTAACAATTAACTGTATTTTATTTAGAACTGAAACTTGAAGTGCTTACTAGGAGTTACATCTAGTTATTATTTATTAAGTGACTTCAGCATCCGAATTGATATAATATAGGAATATCTTATGGTTTTGAAAAAATATCATTTATATCCATGAGTGGATATTGATATTTTCATGAGTGAGCGCAGCGTGTGAGTGAAGATATTTGTATCCATGAGTGGATATAATATATATAAAATATTTTTGAAAATAATTAAAAAATGTAAAAAGAAATTTTTTTTTAAAAATTCGAAACCATCGAATATCACTTTTCAAACCATCGAATATCACTTTTTAAGACGCGATATTCGATAGTTTAAAAGTGATATTCGATGATTTGTGAATTGATCCCCATATCAAATATATCTTCATGTGATATTCGATCTATATCCTTGCAACCATGGGATAATCACTGATATGCTTAAGACCAAAAAACCTATAAAGAATGTTATTATTGAATACTGAGAATACATTGTTTTTACATTACGGAGCTTTATTTCTACCTGAAAGTATTTTGGAACATATCTCTTGCTTAAATATTTCATGCAATGTTACTTTCAAAAACTTTCTTAGAACAATAAGTCCATCCTATACTTTCACATGTTATTCTCCATTTCGTTTTTAAAAATTGTGGGAGCTTTAAACTCTAGAAGAGCTTAATTACCAATTATACCATGCACCCTCCGTCGCATTTTTCTTAGGATGGCCAGGCATATTTCAAATTGAAGAGTAAAGTCAGTTAAAGTGATATATAGCTGTATACAACAACATATCTTTCACTTGATACTGTGATGTCAAGCTTAAGCATTCAAACAGTGTATTTTCTCCCAAGATACAATAAAGTACTGATTTCATTCATTTATCAATTCAGATGCCTTGGAATTAAAGTAAACACTTGGTATATATTACCAATATTATTTTTACTTATTATTGGTGGTACAATGACCAGGTTTCCTTTAATGTCTTTGGTCTTACTGTGCAGTTTGGAAAAAGAAAATTCAGAAAGTTGCAGTCTTAGTTGAAAAAAAAACTGGTGACAATCATACTTGCTACAGCTTTTCCCATTTTCAGAAGCCAATAGATCTGTACTTCCACTTACTATGACGTTAAGTCTTCTCATATGTATTATTGGTGGTACTAACTGGAGGCAGAATCAGAAATCATGTCAAATAAAAGTAACATTTAAGAGATAAATTGTTCTGAATAGTGCATCTTTCATATTTTTCACGATTTCTGACAGGTTTTTTGTCCTTTTGGGTCTTTTTAAAAGTACATGCAGAAGTGAATATTTGATCTAGAGCTCTGAAACTTCCAATATCAGAACTTGGTAGCATTATGTCTTGGTATCTTATGTTTGGGGTCTAAAAAAGTCACAGATGTTGAGAAAAATATTCATTAAGCAGCAGTTTCAGTTCAAAGTTAGTTAAAACTGCACTCAGCTTTCTCTATTTATAAACGCCGATAGATTGGTAAGTATTAGTATTAGGACCTTGAAACTGCTCATATTATGTAGTCTTTTTGGTATTTCTCATTGCAAAGGTAATTTGGAAACACTGTGACTTACATTTCATGTGTTAGTGAACACTGAAAATGAAACAGCCTATTAGATTTCATCATGATACATTGTACAAAATTGAAAACGTATATATAAAATATGTAGAGTCCTATATTTTAGTAATGAATGAATTACAATGTCAAGTAACAAGTGAAAATGTTAAAAATGCATTGATTTGCTTTCTATCAATACAAGTTTTTAATTGTATGCTGCAAAATGATAACATTGACCACGCCCACTTTCCAGGGGTAGGGTACTATAAAGTCATATTAAAAATCATAAATAGTACATTATCATTATTATAATTGTATTACAATATCAAACAAAGCTTGAATTAGTTTTTAGAAAACAATTTTGAGCTATTTAAGCTGCCATCTTTTGCTTGAAGCTACAAAATATAAGATACGTGAGACTTAAAAATGACTAAAATTGCATATTTTTTTCCTATTAATTGCAATATTTCTGAGACTAATACAGATATCGGCCTATAACTTTAGGATATTATTCATCTTTGGACTAGTAATGTGTGCTGTAGAAAGCAGAACAATAGCAACTATATCCTTTATGTTATGAAATAGTCTTATAGTACCCCCTGAAATCGCAGGAATTGAAGTCCAATTCGGCCGTGAAAATTGTTTTTACCACTTTAAAGGCCATCACCTTATATTTTCTTACACCTACTAGGTTACTCTAACCTACTGCATTGCCAAAAGTTACTTCTTGCAAACTTCCGGCAAAACTGTGCCAGCATCTGATACAAATCTGTTCCGCCGCCTGTAGTGATTTTCCAAAAGAAAAAAAAGAGGAAAAATATGTTTTGGAATGAAAACTGGCAAAATATCTCCGATACGAGGACAGATTTAACCATTTCTATTCCTAAAGTATGACAACATATCTTGGTGTAATATTTTGACTAACTGTTGCCTAAATAGTGCGTGAGATACCCAACTGTATGGCAAATGTATTGGGAAAATATCTTACCGGAAGTTATCCATAGGCGCCGCCATTTTTGAATACCCAGCTTGCAGTTCGTTTCCGGGATACATGTTTTCTATCATGTTTTGTACATTTTCATGAAAAAGCTTTTCCGCGACTCAATTCTAATCGTAATAGAATTGTAAATCGTACATACACAAAACAAGGAACGACTGAAATGGACCACAGGTCTGAGAGAAGAATACAAGACACAAAACAAAAGGCCAGACCAGGTACACTGTATATAATTTTTTGATTTCATAATTTTCCAATATTTCTCTCTCAATCTGAATTGCAGAGCCATAGCCTATTTCTAAAAATAGCCTAATTACAATTAAATTGATTTTTGAGACAGTGTCCACTATTACACAGCAGAGCTTATACCTTTATTATGAAGCATGTTGACGTTGACGAAAAGCTTTGTAATTGTTACAGTATAAAGTGTACTCGTAATAAATATCAGTACACTACAAGTACAGTCTAATAAGAATTGGTTATATTAGAGCGCATAGGGGTAATCTCGGACACGAGGCATTGTCGGTCGATCGTCAGTAATTCTTTGTTTAATATGGTTTCTTTATTGAAACTTCATATTAGACACATCATATTATCGATGTGGTGCTATATATCGTAAAAAGTTTAATAATGCCGTAGATTTTTATCTGATACCAAGGGTTTGTCCGGGAATCCCCTGTCTCGGTATTAGTAATACCTGCAAACATTACAAGGCTTTGTATAAAAAACCTCCTACCTCAGAGGGGGAGATTTCCCAAAGATCACCTTTCATATTGGCACGTTCGATAACCAATTTTATAAACAGGCCTCATTTGCTATTGAAATGGATCTCTCAATGTCCGCTTGTGTTTTATGAGTATTCTCTGAAAGAAACTTCGAATACTTCAATAGTATTACTGTAGTTTTGAAATGATGATATTGAACTGATGTTAAACTGAAATAAACACCATTTCAACGATTTCAAATTTTACTTTGCACATGCGTGGCACTGAGAAAGCACGTGCTCATGATTATTCACGTGAACACATCCTGCAGTTTGATTGGAGATACTGATACTGTCTTTGAAGGGTTCAATTTTAAAGATTATTAAATCTTAGTTTATGATGAATTGTAGATGAATTAATGCATCCATTACTTACATTACATACCTTTATTTATGGATCTGTCCTCTGTCTAGTCATAAAATAAAGCAGGAATTGCACCCTTAACCCTTTGCATTCGTTCGACTTCACTTCTTAAAGGAGAGCTAAAGAATCATTTTATAGCTAGACTCTGCGCGCAGGGTACCGGATTGCAGAAATGTGAATAATTTGAGCTATTTTGATATCATGTCTGCTTTTGATTTCTCAAAATGATTTTTGTTGATCGGCAAGTATGGCTTTGTATAAAAAAACTTGTACCCAGGTACGTGGGTCTTGACACAGTCTTTGAAGGGTGCAATTTTTTTAATTTTTTTTAAAGATTATTCATTCTCAGTTTATGCTTTATTATAGATGCATTGATGCACCCGTCCCCTATGTCTTTATCTATACAATAATAGAATAAAGGCGAATTGAAGAATTGTTAATTGAGAAATTTTAATCATTTTGTCAAAATAGCGCAATTAATTTATTAATTTATATACGAAGTAGCTTGAAAGTGTATAGGGTTATTTAAAGGCCCCGTGTAAAGTTTAAACCACTTTGGCTTATATTGTAGTCTTACCCAATGTTATCAAAGTGTGATATGTGAAACTTTTTTTTTAAATTTCAAAAAGTGGTTTTTGATAGACTTTTTGTTCCAAAATTTGTGAATTCATTTAAAACCAACTTTTAGAGGTCACTCATATCTTTTAATTAGCCACAATTCATACCAATGCATAGCATTCATCCTCCCATGTTTTTTGCCGAAAAAATTAAGAAAATCGGTTGATAAACAAGCGAGAAATGAACTTATCAGTGCATGAAAATGGTTCTGAGAAAAATGCATTTCAAAATTATAGTTCTCATAGAAACCAATGGTACAATGATATCTAAAACATAATTTATTCTTCCTTTTAACCTGGTTAGACAATCAACATTGGTTTTTTATGAAAGTCTAGCATATTTAGAAAAGATTGACATCGAAAAAAAATTTTCAATTTTTTTCAAAAAGTTTTTGTTACCTTAGTGACATCACTAATGTTTCAAAATATTTTTGATTTGCTAAAACATTGAAGTGGCCCATTAAATATGGCATTTTATTGTTGAAATAGTGTGTCCTTTGTTCAATCTTTGCATTGGTGTTAAAAAGATAATCTTTTTTGAAATGCATTAAGAAATATTTGATGATAGAGAAATTTCAAATTTCATGGCGGGAAATTTGAATATTTGAGAAATGAAATGCTCACAACTTTTTTTTCAAAAATTTTTTTTTGTTCAAAAATCTCTAAAATCACTTTTTAAGTCCTTACAAATAGTAAATGAATGATAAAAAAATATTTTCAAACTTTAGACGGGGACTTTAAAGTATGATGGAACCCATGGACGGAATGACAATAATATTGAATATGCGCTTATTTGAATTTGCGCAAAGGCTATTAAGGGATCAATCATATTTATACTTCTCAATTGATGTGTTGTAAGACTGGCTGATCAACAAAATTTTAAATCATTTGGAAAAATCAAAAGCAGACCTGAAAACAAAATAGCTCAAATTCATGAAATTAACATTTTTGCAATTCCGGCTTTATTTTATGATTAGATACTTGACAGATCTCTTATGTTTTATTTGTTTTCCAAATTCTAACATTTTCAGAACTGAAAGAGAAAGAAGACTGGGTCCGATTAGACTATTACCATACTTTTAATACATCACGATCATCAGTGAAAGATAATGTTGATCGAATAGATGCCAGAAGGGTCTCTTATGAAGAGTTTGTTGTGAAATATGAATCTCTGTACAAGCCAGTTGTAATTACACATGTTCAAGATGGATGGGCAGCTCAGAAGAAATGGACTGTTCAAGTAAGTGTTCAATTCCCTGCTTTGAAAAGATTAGTTAGAGGTGGAATGTTTGCAGTAGATCCCAATGAATGAATGAATTGAATATTTAAATAAAAGTTGTTTCTCATATTTATAGTGATAAAACCAAAGTTTTGCCTTAATTCAATTTTATTTTCATTTGGAAAATTAAGTTTAAAAAAACAAAAAAAAACAATGGACTTTTGTCATTTTCTGTATTTTTCAGTCATGAGTCATATATATACATCTATATAACAGTTAAATTTGTTCTTAACAGTGTATTTTATTATTTACATTGCAGAGGTTAGCCAAGAAGTATCGCAATCAGAAATTCAAATGTGGTGAAGACGACGATGGTTACTCGGTGAAGTTAAAGATGAAATATTACTGTGAATATCTACAGACCACCCATGATGACAGCCCTCTCTACATCTTTGACAGTAGCTATGGAGATGTAAGTAAATATCTGGATATTATATATTAGTCGTACCGAGTTCAGTCCTGTTTGGAGGAATCAGATCTTCTCCCCTAACTTTGAAGTAATTTTCTACAGCCTAATCGTTTAAGGCTTAATAATATACAAAAAAACTTACCTGATTTACACATCTGTACTTCATAAGCCAATATTGACCTTCAAATGTACATTCATTTTGAAATATCAGGTGAATTTGTATTTTTTTCATGGGGTGTCTGTTATAGAATCCCGTCATTTTGAATACTCGACATCATGCAGCATTTGATTGCCCTATGCTACACAGTGCACAATCTTATGCCTGGGTCACATTTGCTCCGATCCATCAGCCTGCACCCGGCCGATTGAGTGTTTTGGTCAATATTGTATTCAATTTTGAACAAAATACTCAATCGGCCAGGCGCCTTAGTGAAAATCGGGGCAAATGTGACCAAGGCATTAGTAGGGTGTTTTATTACAGTTATTAAAACCATGGATAATTTACTTTGTAGCATCCTAAGCGCAAGAAGCTTTTGGAAGATTATGATCTGCCTGGATACTTCACAGACGATCTGTTCAAGTATGTAGGGGAGCGCAGGCGACCACCATACAGGTAATCATGCAGTGGATGTATCACTATAATCACTATCTCATTAGGGTTCGAAATTGGTGGTTGTTTCATTGTCAATTTCAATCAATTACTTCCAATGGATTTAGGATAAACTCAGATTTTGAAATCACATATTTGAAAATATGACCTACAGAAGTGTATAAATCCCTGAGTATCTCATAAATGTATATTTGTTTGTGCTTATGATGCTTATTGCTATTTCAGATGGTTTGTTATGGGCCCTGCTAGGTCAGGTACAGGAATCCACATAGACCCATTGGGTACCAGCGCATGGAATGCTCTCGTTCAAGGGCATAAAAGGTAATTTTGAAGTAATTGATGTAATATTATATACTTTTAGGATTTGTGAATTTTTAAAAATGTTATATGTCAATTATATGGAAAATAACAGCTATTTAATTAGATAAAGAATAACTTGGACTTTTTCCCATATGCTATTTGGTGATGTTGTTCCTAGTTAGGTAAAAGAATATCCTCAAAATGTTTCAAATGTTTATAGATGGTGTTTGTTTCCCACGGAAGCCTCCAAAGAGATCCTGAAAGTTCCATCAGGTCAAGGCTGGAAAAACCGTGATGAGGCCGTATCTTGGTTCACACATGTCTATCCCAAAACACAGCTTCCTGATTGGCCAAAAAAGTTTATTCCGGTAATTTCATTGACGAATAACTTTAAACAGATATTAGTAATTAAATTTTAGCAAAACCGTTGTAATTGTATGAAACTGTACCAGGGAAAAGATAGTTTTGACACAAAAACACTTTTAAATTCAGTTGAAGTTCAAGGTCATGTCAGAGCCCCGAAGTCCTTTTTGCAATCAATAATGTTAATTTGAATCCAAAACCGAAAATTATATACCATTAATGATATTAAAAAGGAATTAGAGTTGAGAAAATTGATCTGTATATTGATCTGTCTCATCCTGTTTTTTTCAGCTTGAGATCTTACAGGGACCCGGGGAGACTGTCTTTGTCCCAGGGGGCTGGTGGCATGTTGTCGTCAATTTAGATGATACAATTGCTGTCACACAGAATTTTGCCAGCGTCACAAATTTTCCCATTGTGTGGCACAAGACTGTGAGAGGCCGACCAAAATTATCAAAAAAGTGGTACAAAGTTTTAAAAGTATGTCAAGCTTTAATTTTTAGTAACCATGTATTTGCCTTGATAGCATTTGTGGAAATATTTAACTGATGATTAAGAAAGGTTAATTAAGAAAGTTATTTTTATACATTTTTCAGTGAGAAAGGTCAAGGTCCTCTCTCAAACAAATAAACTATAACATTCATAAATAGATTAATTGAGAGTTTAAATGGAAAATGATAGAATTCAATAGGCAGGAGATATAGTGTCATGATTTTCTTCCTACATTTGCTGATTGGATATATTGGTGCGACAAGTAGTTCAAAGTTTTAATGAATTTGAGCTTTCGCAGAGTAAAACCATTTGATCATTAAGTGTAATAAACTGTAAAAAATACAAAAATTACATGTACATTAAAACCTGTCTTAGTGGAACACCAATAGTACCTCTTAAAAGTGGTAAAGCCTTAATTTAAAAGTATTCCACTTAGGAGGTGTTCCACATTAGAGATTCATTTTGCATTAAGGCAGATGGTCATGAAAAGTGTTCCACTAACAGAGGTGTTCCTATTCTAGAGGTGTTCCACATTATATATTTTAAATACTAATTGTTTCCAGAAAGTTCGTCCAGAGCTAGCTGACGTGGCAGACTCTGTAGATTTGTCTAAATCTACAGGAGTTAACTCAGACAGTTCTAGTGACTCTAGCAGTAGTAGCAGTAGCTCAGACAGTTCAGATAGCTCAGATAGCGAATACAGCAATATGGATGCAAGTAGAAAAAGGTAATTTTTGAAATACCAAGATTTCACATCTAGGCTACTTTATAGCAGGGCTTTCACGTAACAGAATTATTATAGAACCGAAAACAGAATTTCTAAACAACTTTTATCATAGTATGAAGCCTTTTATTCATCCTTACACAATTGTTTTATATTGCCCCAAAAAGAAATAACTGTAGCTGACATATCTCATTTTATGTGACATTCTGAATCTGTTCAAAAAAGACGCAAATAACAACCATACATTTGTTGAAGTAAATGTGATATAGTTTTGTTGGAAAATGCTTTAAATATGACTGCCATGAATGCTTATCAGTTGCATATGTCTCATACGTTTTTTGATAGAATTTTAGCCAGAGTAAAGCAAATTAGCTCCAAAATTCTGAAGGAAATTAACGAAATTCAGTTATGTATAACCATCTACTTGTTGTATCTACCAACTTAGAAATGTGAATGTTTTTTTCAAATATCATGTTTTGAAAATATATTTGCATCTGAGATGACATTTTTCTACATTATAAATTGTTACTAACAAAATATAAAATGCAGTAAAACAATGGCACAGCTGCTACACAATTCTCAATATTTTGTTCCAGGAAAAGGGCTATCTCAAGGTCACCAAATGGTTCCCGTCACCGGGCCAGGCCCCATTCCCACTCACCAAGTCGCAGCATATCACTTACACCAAAGAACTCCAGGTGACACGTATCAGGACAATAACCTTGGCCAATTTTGTAAAATATTGGTAAATACTAACAGACGCAGCTATAAAATGAACAAAATATGAACTCAACTTGAGAACTTACTACTCGAGGCGAGGCATTGAAACTAAGCAAATTATATGGCACATTTTGTGTCTTGCTTGTGCTCTATGCTTGCAATGTTCAGTCAAAGGCTTACAAATATCTGCAGCATTGTAACCATTTTATAATATAGCAATTCTTTCATAGTACAAGAAAATATCAATATGTATAGATTGAGCTGAAAAAATTTTATGGGGAGGGGATAAGAGGCCATCTTCAGTAGAATGGCAATGGCAACAAATTTAATTTCTCATCTTTTCCTGGGAGAATGCTGGGTCAATCCAAAACATAATTATATTCATCTTATATCATAAAGCATTATATAATTGTATTCTCTAATACATGTAGTCTTTTCGAAATTGTTTTATGGATTATTGAAAAATGAACTTTATAATATTTCAATATAGAGTGTTTGATATACATGTAATATTTATTTGGGAAAATACCCTATTAAATCTTTTGAATTTACAGGTTATGTAATGTGAGCAGATGGGTGCAAAGTTCTAACAGAATAACAGAAAAAATTACAATTTTATATCTATTTTCACAGTTAAAATGTCACTTAACAATGTCATGTAGGAGTACTATAACTAAGGAGTGTAAATTTTCAGATTTTTATAAAATGAGCTTTTTCGAAAGTATACATGTATTATTGTATGTTATTGTCCTATATTAGGACAAAAGGAAATAATGTGTTTTATTGTACAATAACAGTCAATTGATATTTGTTCATTGTAGTATTTATGTCAATATAGTTTAAAGACTCATATTCTACGTCACCACCAAAAAGTGTCCATGTATTGCTATAGCGACCATTTTTATGTCACCACCAAAAGTGGTGACATATTGTTATGGTCTCCGTTTTTTTTATGTCACCACCAAAAGTGGTGACATATTGTTATGGTCTCCGTTTTTTTGTGACGGCGGTTGGTGGTTGGAGGTTGGCGTCTGGCGTCTGTAACAATTTCTTACAACTTCCTATAACTTAACAAATACTGTTTAGACTGACTTCAATTTTTTTCTAAATCATCTACATGTTCTCAGAAGTTCAAATTTGACTTTAGATTTGACATTTGACCTTCAATGACCTTTTCAAGGTCAAAAAGGTCTTTTTTCAACTTGCTTCACATTGACTAAATTTTTTTTCAAAATCATCTACATGTTCTCAGAAATTCAAATCTGACTTTAGATTTGACTTTAGATTTGACATTTGACCTTCAAATCTGACTTTAGATTTGACATTTGACCTTCAATGACCTTCTCAAGGTCAAAAAAGGTCAAAAAGGTCTGTTTTCAACTTGCTTCAAATTGACTAAATTTTTTTTTCAAAATCATCTACGTGTTCTCAGAAATTCAAATCTGACTTAAGATTTGACTTAAGATTTGACATTTGACCTTCAATGACCTTCTCAAGGTCAAAAAAGGTCAAAAAGGTCTGTTTTCAACTTGCTTCAAATTGACTAAAAATTTTTTTCAAAATCATCTACGTGTTCTCAGAAACTCAAATCTGACTTTAGATTTGACTTAAGATTTGACATTTGACCTTCAATGACCTTCTCAAAGTCAAAAAAGGTCAAAAAGGTCTTTTTTCAACTTGCTTCAAATTGACTAAATTTTTTTTTCAAAATCATCTACATGTTCTCAGAAATTCAAATCTGACTTTAGATTTGACATTTGACCTTTAATGACCTTCTCAAGGTCAAAAAAGGTCAAAAAGGTCTGTTTTCAACTTGCTTCAAATTGACCAAATTTTTTTTTCAAAATCATCTACATCTTTTCAGAAGTTCAAATTTGACTTTGCAAGTTCTCAGAAGTTCAAATCTGACTTAAGATTTGACCTTTGACCTTCAATGACCTTCTCAAGGTCAAAAAGGTCTTTTTTCAACTTGCTTCAAATTGACTAAAAAATTTGATCTAACTAGGTGGTGACATTTTGTCATGTTAATGCCTTGTTGTTTCTTGCGTTCAGCATCTGTTGAATTTTTAAGAGAGTGATATTTGAGCCACCTGTGCCCCTTCTACCCATGACTATATATTATACGTTTCAATTGATTTTTGGCAACATCTCTTACCATGGTAACAAATTAGGGAACTTTTAGGGTTTCATATCGTCCATAGAATTTATATATGTTCATATTGGTATCAGTTGTAGAGGCATTAATAGCATTATTGACACCCAATAGGAAATTCAAAAGTTCTGAAACATTTTTCTATTGCATTTGTTCAACAAGTAATAAGCTAGAACTAATACTATATACATAATTAGCTGATTTTGCATATGATCCAGACAACGCGAAGACTTTATATGCATAATGCAGAGAAGATGTTACAAGTGTGTCAAAGGTTATAAGGTCCTCCATAAACTGTCTCAATATTATTTGAAACCAAGGCACCTTACTGTTATGACAGGTTTCCATGCAATACAGAAAATGTCCATGATCGAATGCAAACATTTAAAGATGAAGATAAAAACAGCTTTAGGAATGATCGTTATACTGCACAGTAAGTCGATGTAATCTATTTTCCATTTTCGATATGGCCTCTCAAATCAAAATGGCCGCCATTATTCTTAAAAAAGTTATCTTTGACTCAAAATAGGATCCTAGAGCCTATGGCACGGGGGTGCCATAACCTATGCCATAGGATATCACATGGCACTGTGCACCATGTCATGTTTTGTACTAACCCTATATAGTTTAAAGGCAATGGGTGTTTTAGCTAGAGACGAAGTATTATAGATCTATGTATACTATAGGCCTAGAAAGGAACATTTGATTCAGAGTAGATATTTTTCTCCTGGTTTAATAGTAAGTGGTCCCGATTGTTATGGTCTGCTAGATGCTAGAAATAACTACGGAGAATGGCGCAACCTTCCGAGCATTATGCAAAGACAATTGGCTCAAACTAGCTCATAGATTCAATGGTGATGTCGACTTCGATAAAACTTGGAGTGAATATAAGAGCGGATTCGGGATACCAAATCGAGAACATTTTCTCGGATTCGATAATGCACTATCTGTGCTTAACCAGGGAAGCTACAGATTGAGGATTGAATTGACAACATGGACGGACGACACAAGATATGCAGAATATGGAACGTTTATCTTGTCCGATGAAGATGATTTCTACATTTGTATCAGCATCTAGAAGCAAGTTATTTGTTCTTTTCATTCATGTCTATCTAAACTTTCTCGAGTCATGTAACATTCTTGGCGTGACTAGATACAGAGGAGTCCCTGGGGTTTGATCCGCACGGGTGTGGATTGTCCCTTTCAAATCAACCCCATAGCAAATGATTTGGTTATGGTTTCATTATTATCATATCTCCATATCAGAAATATGGGTATAATGTAGATTATGACCAGCTACATTCAGTTTTTCTAAAAGATTTAAATTTACAATTAACAAATAAAGTAAGCAAGAATGAACGAATTGTAATTGCAATTGTAAACATAATGGAATAAGTTCCACAACGTATTCAAAATAGGGTCTGACCATCAGTTTTACCTAGACCATAATGATAATATTTTAGGAGAATACGAAGGAACAGCGAGTGATTCTTTAGAATACCAGAACAACCAGAGTTTCAGTACGAAAGACCAGGACCATGACGGTACTAACTCCGCCTTCGATTGTGCTAAGCATCACAAAGGGCCATTCTGGTACAATGGATGTGCTGATAGTGCTCTGTTTGGAGTCTACAAAGATGGAGGGCAATGCGAGTCATACGCGACATGTGTTTTGTGGAGACTATGGCCCGAGGTGATTGGTAGCCCAACTAATAATTGGTACTCATTCAGTTGTACGAATGATGATCCAACCGACTGATCGTGATCAGGGGTGAACACCACAAAATCTGTAGGAAACCAAACAAAATTTTGGTATAATAGTTATACAATTGCATATTTTATACATTAATAAAAAGGTAAAAAAAAAGATGTCATAGCCATCAGTATAAATACGGCCCCTCGGATGGCCTAGAATCTCAAGCGCTTTGGCCAAGACAACCAAACGATGTGAGATGTTGGATCAACTTCTAACAACAAAAAGTGCATCGATAATATCGAATTTATGATCGGACATTAGTATGATACTAGTATTACTTTATTACCTTGAAGTACACATCATACTTATGTCCGATCATAAGTTGGAATAATAGTTGTGTTTCAAATATTAATTGTATGACATACAATAAGATAACTCACTTTTTATTCAAATGTAAACAATTGGAGTATATCAGAAAATCTCATATTGAAAAACTTGAAAACCTGTGAAGTAGTTTTAAAAACATGAATGACCATCAAAAGACAATTTTTCTATAGACGAGTGAGGGGATCATATAAAAAAGATTCTGCTGACATGATACATTATCTAATGATTGGTAGAGACAGGATTCTTATATCAAAGTAACATTTTATATGTCATTTAAAGAATGTAATCCTATTTTCTTTACTTTATTGCTATATTTACTGTTATTGAAAATTGTATATCGGATGTACGTTTGGCCCTAAAAGGGCATCAGTACAAATAAAATCATATTATATATACGAGACCAAAGTTAATGTTACCAGGGGGAATTCGACCTTACTAATTATACATTTTTCTGTTTTGAAAAATTCGATATGAGATGTACATTTCTTAGTTTTTCCAAAGAAATCTACAAATATTTCGTTGCGGTTTTATCTTTACATCGTAATTTCAATCACTGCCATCATTTTTCAAACGAGGTACAGTACCTTGAAATATCAGAACGTCATGCTATGCTCATACTTGTAGAACTTAATGTGACTGTCACTCACCAATCCATTTATTATTAAAGCAGTAACAAAATTATATGGTGACAATATGCGTTTAGTTCCTTTTGAACTGAATGTCGAGTCTTTCATCATAAGAATGTAATTTTAGGCGATCTGTCTGCATGGGGCGAAGTACATAATACGCCATATCTTAATATCAATGGTAAATTGTTTTCAGTACGAGTCATTCAGTCATTTTTGTGCAAAGGTCATACCAGACACAGAGAATAATTGCTTCCAAATAAAATTAAACTCATTTCGACATGGAAATGTTAACATCTGTTTATTTGCATGTATTTGTTACAATGAAAAATGTCGAACAGCAATATTTATCGTTTAGTTTGGAATCGCGTCTTTTATCCAAGCAACCAAAAATGTCTTCTGAACACAAGATTCGAGATACAGAATAATTAATGAAGAAATATTTTTGAAAAGTGCGCTCTGATGGTGTATGACTTCAGAGATATCCCAGCAAATACCCGTTTCTGATAATAGATTGTACAGTTTAATCGATGGTTAAAATCTCATTGTTACTGAACAGTATTTGACAAATGGAATATTACTTAAATATGTGTTTCAATAAGTAATTATATTTCACAGTGTGCCCTTTAGCTTTTTAACACTCCGGATCCAGATTGGATGATATAATATGAAAATGGAGTGTGTCCCGTTGTCAATTAAAGTTTTCTTCGTAATATCAATTATAAGTAAGTAAATAGTGTTTGTCTGTATATTAGTATAAAAGTGCTCAAAAACACAAAATGTAAATAAGATAACAATACAACATCGGCTAAAGATAAATTTTAAATCTACAGATTCATTTAATCATATAACATGACCGTTGCATTGTGATGCTCGCGTCTGTTATTTCTCTACTAGGTGTATCTGTTTGTGAAGCTGGAAAGCCAAAATGTCAGCAAAGTGATGTCGAGGCTATACAGAAATGTGTCATGGAAATCAAAACTGGACTAGGTGATCTGACATGTCTGAAGGAGAGGTTGCTACGGCTTGAGAATGGGATGGCTGAAATAATTCAATTTATCAGAAAAGGTGTGATGCATTTTCAGGTTCATTTAGCAGGCCCGTAAGACACTTTTCCCCAAGGGGGGGGTGCGGTTTTTAATAAAGAGAAGATAAAATTGTCATTCCCGCGTAAATCAAATCGCGTAAGTCAGAGGGGGGGCGGGAGTTATGTCAGTCAGTCGGTTTATCTATATTAATGCCACTCGCCTATTTTGTAGTATTTTATTGTTTTCATTTTGTTTTTAGACTAAATATTGTATGAGCAATTTGTAGAAACATTGGAATAGGGGGAGGGTGTGCTAGAAGGCAATTGAATCAATTTAAAGAAATTCTGATTTTTTAATCATTTTCTTCTTAGAGGAGCAGGTGGGCAGCACAGGAAAATTTTACAAATTCAAGATGCTGTCTGGTTAATTCTGGCAAATCAAGTGTAATAAATGAATAATAACGAGTACACAGCACTAAATCAAAAATTCAAAATTCTGGGGTTTGTAGAAAAAATCGGGTACCGGGTAGTAAATCCTCCATGCTGGGTTCAAACTTGGTACCCGGTACCAGGTTGAAAAAATCGGGTACCCCAAAAAACGAAAAATACGAATAAATAACATTTAGATCATTAGAAAACGTGTAAGATTTGTTTTGAATTTACAAAAATGTATATAACTTCCTTCAAAATTGAGCTAGAAGCTTCAAATAAAAAGCATTTTAAGGCTCTTTTCTTCCTCTATCATCATGGCCATATTTTCACTGGTTATGGGGGGGGTGCGATCGCACCATTGCACCCCCTCCTGGCTACGCCTATGACATTGTAAGACGATTTGAAAAACATGGCAAGTCAATCTTACTCTGTTTTCAATAGTTCGTATGTTGGTACGTGAATTGTTTTGATTATTTTTTAAATCTGTAAGTAGCTATCGTTACTTTAGCAGAGAGCTGACGTGTGTTAATTTACATGATGCAACGTGTAAGATTTTGATTATTAATCATAATTTAAGTTATCCCCTTTTTCGACGAAACGTCCACTGAAGTGTAAATTGTTACGTCTTACAATGTCATAGGCGTAGCCAGGAGGGGTGCGATGGTGCGATCACACCCCCCCCCCAAATTACCAATGAAAATATGATGATAGAGGAAGAAAAAAGCCTAAAAATGCTTTTTATTTGAAGCTTCTAGCTCAATTTTGAAGGAAGTTACATACATTTTTGTGAATTCAAATAATCTTTCACGTTTTCTAATGATCTAATTATGTTATATATTCGTTTGTTGGGTACTCGGTTTTTTCGACCGGGTACCAAGTTTGAACCCAGCATGGAGGATTTACTACCCGGTACCCGGTTTTTTCTACAAACCCAAAATTTTGCTACAATATGACTCTTGCGTGGTCTGAGATCGGCAAAAATAGCTTCTATAATATTTATTTTCTTCTTGGACACCCTATTAGTCGAAGGTGAAGGTCGAAGGTGCAGGTCGAAGGGTTTTTATGACATTCCGAATGTATCGACTAAAATCGGGAATTTTCCATGAATATGGATATTTCCCCGGGGAAGGGCCGCTATACCAAACTTCTAATGGAGTACACATTAAGGAGGATGAAGAGCCGTGTGGTGATGGATAGGATACGATGGTAGAATATTAAACTGTGTGCACATCCTGAGAGCGGTAGCCTACAGTACTCTATATTATACAGGGTGGGCAGGAAAATAGGACACGGTATCTATTGGCGTAGCCAGGAGGGGGTGCGATGGTGCGATCACACCCCCCCCCCAAATTACCAATGAAAATATGATGATAGAGGAAGAAAAAAGCCTAAAAATCTTTAACACGTGTGTAATGTGGCGTCTATAGCCAGAAGTGAATGGTAATCCAACTAACTCACTGCTACTCATTTAAAAAAGACGGATATACATGTTCAAAACATGTGGTTACATAAATCATTAAAGTGTTTATTAATATACGAAATACAGAACTGCTGACAAAACTAAAAAGTTAACATTGATTAATTAACCCTAAGTGTGGTCAACTGTCAGTTAATTCGATTACGATTTAGGCACTGTTAGAAACCTGTGTCTCAAATCATTTTCGTTGATGTGTCTAGTTTCATCAAGGGTTCCATCGTAATCGTTAACATCGGGAATCGTTAACATAACTTGCTTCTAGATGCTGATACAAAGTGAAAAGAAGTTAACTTGAAACGCTTTTGATTCAAAAGCAAAATCGCCGACCATGAAAACTTGACTTAACTAAAAGGAGTCTACGTAAGTACAAAATACTATATTATACAAGTTGTAACATTTATGCATATCTCTATTTCAGGTTTCTCTATACAATAATTCCATTCACATGTACAATATATACAAACTATTTATATGCAAAACTCAAATGTTCAATAATACAATTTACAAAATATCACAAATCCATATCACAGATACATGTAATCTCATAAATTCAGCACAGTCATAATAAAAGTCAAAGACTTGGAAGTAAAAATAGTTATATAATCAATCACATGTATACAAGCTTCTGATATCTTAAAAATATTTTTTCCAATAAATATAATCTCACTATGGTTTTTACGTCCAAATGGTGGCAGGTCTAAATCTGCAAGTCATAATGGTACATGTATGTAACAATCGTGTGAAATCCATTGTCGTGTGAAATCCATTGTCAAAGGTTAAGTCAGACATATCCAACAGAAACTCCTTTTGAAGGTACAATCTACTTTCTGAGCAGATTCAAGATGGCCAAACAGAAAGTTCATGTTCTTATTCAAATAGTCTGTCCACCAAAAGTAATGTCTGGTTTGACTTTGTCAGTTCCATCAATCATTTCATGTCTCAAAGTATGGTGTCAGGTCTTAGCATGGTAAGGTGTCATGTCTAACCAGCATCATGGTGATTTGGTGCCAGGTCTAACTAAAATGTAGATTTAGGCACTTTACATATATCACAGATGTATCAAATAATGAGTATTATTGTGTATAAAAAAACACATGTACGGGTAACAGGGTAAGGCACTGGCGGTCCGTGTCCTCGCCCAGTTTGTGAGGAGCAAACATATTAACAATATCCGTCCTTTCTTAAATGCGTGTCTAGTACAAAATGTAATTTCCTGGTAGGTCAACTTCATCTTAAAGAGTCTAGATGCCCAGGCTTTTGTTTGGCATACCAAGTTATTGTATCAGTTACTGTAAAAGGTTTCTTACACAGAAAGCTACAAGAAAATTCAAAGAACTTCCCTCCGAAGTCCAAAGGCACAATCCATCCTTTTGAAGGCACAATCTACTTTCTGAACATATTCAGCATGACATTAATAAGAGAGCTGAGAAAATCTGCCAGTAAGACTTGTTTACAAAGGGGGCAATATTCTAGGATAACTGCCTCGAGAATCCAAAGGAACTGATTTTCTACCTCCAGTCTCAAAAAAATTTATCCTAGAGTCTTGCATCTGAACAACAGGGAGTGATGTTGTCGGTAGTGCCTGTATGCCCAAATTAGGCGCTGATTGAGTTAAGTGAAGATCATTCCTTATGAAGTTGTAGTTTGGTTTCACCTTCTTTGAGATTGCTCTGACTAGATCTCTGGCATGTTTTAAACTGTAGGCTGTAATAAACAAGTGATAGAAATCAAATGAAGTTATTTTCTGCTTAGCATTTTCATTCTTTGTTCAAAACATCAGATTTGAGCTAAATAATTACATTTAGATTATACTTCCTTAGATTGCACAATTTGGCGGTATTTCTTTGACTGGTTTCTTTTTTGTATCATAAACTGTTACGCACATATACAAGGGTGTAACTTATATACCTAGAAAAAAATTTCTAAAATATCTTAAGCTCAGTGATTTTACAAAGGAAAGTATGAGCAACTGCAAATAACTTTTGTCTGTTTCATTTCTCTGTTATAATGCATGTACGAATACATGTACATACCTTTAAGTCTGGCTCTGATCTCTTCACTAAAGTAGCCGCAGTTGATCCACTCATCATAGTCAAGAATACAGTCAAAGGCTGTTAGGCCTGAAAGTGAAGAACAACAAAGTAAGAATGTTTGTGTACATTAGGCCAATATAAAATAATTCTATGTTTACCTGCACATACTAAAAGTCATCCTAAAACTTTTAATTCATAGTTTGCACTTTTAATCTTAGATACAACAGAATTCATACCTTGAGAATTTTTGGTTCTTACATTGGCCCCTCTCTCTACCAGGACACTAGCAGCAAACTGATTGTTAGTCTGTGTGGCAAAGAACAGTGGAGTTGAAAGGTCATCATTGTAGCCATCTATATCTGCCCCATAGTCTAAAAGGAGATCTAGTACATCAGTATTGCCTGACATACTGGCAGCATAGTGGAGGCCACTGGAATGTAGGAAATAAATCTTTTAGACCTTTTAGAGAAGGCATTATGTATAAGATATTAGTCTGACCATTTCTAAGAAAAAACAAGGAACATTAGGTTAATACCTTTTAGTACACATAAAGGAAGAATGAAAAATCTGTTTTTAAAATACATGCTAATAATTGTTTGCTTTATCAAGCTAATTTTCTTCATTATATTTCACTTTTGAGACATACCTGTTACCATTTGGGTACCTAGGATTGGGATTAGCATCATGCTCTAACAGAAACTTGGCAGCCCCCATCCTATTATCACTGAAATAGTATAGACTCAAAGTTATAAACTACATCCTGTATGGGTGGTTCTTCAACAGGATATGTTAACGAGACATACTTCTGGAATGATCCTTTCCCGATGATAATCCAACTCACTTTTTCTGTTCAAACCAGATTTTCTTACGATCTGCATAATTTTAGGACTACAGCCAGACATGAGGCAGAATTTGAAAGAAAAATATTCAGTTAATCAGTTTTTCAAATTAAATATATTTAAAGAAATGTAATGGTACATGTAGCACTATATAACTTCATTTGTATTGCTTTTGTGATGAATATAGCACTATTACATCCCCTAGGGGTCTACATATAAACTTTTGAGATGTCATGCAATAGGTTAGACAGTTTTATATGGTTATAAAAATCTCTGAGTGTCTCTGATGAATGTCTGGACATGATTAAATAGAGTGCAGTTGTCAATGAATGAAGAATCTTTGTTTCCATGGATAATATGATTGAGAAGATTATGTCTATTGGTTACGGCTATGTTCCCTAATTCCCTGAAAAGAGTTGTTCTTCGGGCAACATAGAGGGGGCGGTCAAGAAAATAATGAAGTGGTATCTCTTGTGCGAAACCACAAGCACAAGTACTTACGGTTTGATTTGCTCGGAAAGTATTCTCTGCATCAATGTGTCTTGTTCTCCATCCTTGAATAAGAATCCTGTACTGACCAACCTATAACATTAGAAATATTCAAATCTAATCTTTGGCTTGAGCAGGTAGTTTTTTTCTTATTAATTCACCATTCTTGGGATGGCATAGTGGTCTGGCAAATGTACCCAAACCCTTTGAAATGGGTTGGACAAATGTTTTTCACATGGGTCAAAATGTTGTAGTTTAAGCACATTGCTCATATTATAAGAATCTTTAGACAATTTGTCCACACACTTTGAAACACTATTTCTTCACAAATTATTTATTTAGCTTATAATCACTCATCATTAAAAAAGTGCTACATGTATTATGACATCTGAAAAAAAATTAATTTGAGGTACTAAGGCAATACACAGAACTAACATGTGAACCTTCAAAATAATGACACAAGGCATGGTATTCTGTGAATTGAAAGACTATACATCATATAGTTATGAGACCAATCTTTAAATTAATTCCAAAGATAATGTAAAGATTCTAATTTTGAAGCAACTAACCAGTCAGCAGCCTCAAGGTAACCATTAGCAACAGCAAGGTGGACTAGACTGGGAGGAGATTTGGCATCCTCTGAGTTGAGACACTCCATCATCTGGTCACACTTGTGAGACTTCATCATGGACTTGATCAAATCAATACGCCCCTGCATGGCTGCACAGTGTATGGGCATTAAACTCTGTAATAGAAATGTATGGGCAATGGGCATTAAACCCTGTAATAGGAATGTGTGTAATGGGCATTTAACTATGTAAAAATGCATTGTATGGGCATTAAACTCTGTAATAGGAATGTATGGGCAATGGGCATTCAACTATGTAAAAATGCATTGTATGGGCATTATGTAATGGGCATTCAACTATGTAAAAATGCATTGTATGGGCATTAAACACTGTAATGTGTGTAATTGGCATTCAAATATGTAAGAAATATATGAGCTTTAAATTCTGTAAGAAATGTACACAGGTTCACATTGATCTTACTACTGCATTAGTTCAGAGATTGGCAAGTAAGGCTAACTACCAAAAATATGAGAGACAACTTGTATGTACTGCACAAGTATGGCTTGCCAATCCAGTACATGTAAATACTATGACACAATCACAATAATAAAGGAGAGTTCATACTATACTCACCCTGTTGTTTCTCAAAATAAGGCTGGCCCCACATGCTATGAGTAACTCTACAGCTTGTACCTCTGATGGTTCTCCTGTCTCACCATAACATTTCACATGTAAGGCAGTGTTACCTTCCGTGTCATCAGCATTAGTCAATGCACCAGCATCTAGCAATATCTGTAAATGTTGAATAAGACTAATATTTATGAGATATGTTTACACGTATGATGTAGTGTAGTGCCTTACCTTCCATAGCAACACAACAGTATCTAGCTATTGTAACTACAGTTATACCTATGCATATTGAACATTTTTTGCCAAGAAAGTCAGTAGAGTACAGTATGTGCAGGGGAAGGATGTCTTCTAGAGACAGGTGTTCACTAAAGAAGGGTGTTCACTAAGACAGGTATCATGTAGTTAGTTCGTTTAAAACCATTGTAGTTCAAAAAAAGTAATCTGCAATATTTTTAGGACAAGTGCCCATTCAAATGTTAATTTAATACATTGTATATTAAAAGAAGTAAAAAGAATATAATATTTCACGAAATTAAGAAAAATAAGAAAGATTCATGATAAAATTAATAGAATCATATGAAAACATTGATATCTTGATATAAATTCTTACCCTCATGATATCAACATTGCGGGCCCTGTGAAGGGGAGTTGCCCCTTTGTAATCTGAGAGATTGACATCCAACCTCAGTTGTAACAGATCTTTTACTGCAGGTACCTGGCCAAAATAGGCTGCTGTATGTAGTAATGTACTGCCATTTATCATCCTATAATAAGAACATTGTTAAAGTTGTTCACACAAAGGAAAACCAAATTTTTCCTTTTACAAGTATGATTTACTCAAGAAAACAATATAAAAAAGACATTGACATGACAAAATGCCACCTCCTGGTTTCAATATAAAAAGTGTTTTTTATTATGGACATTGAATGACATATCTCAATTTTTGATGTTGACTGGACAACAACAAAAATGGCACCATTTGGTGGACTCTCATGCATGGATATAAGTATTGTTTCAGATGAATGGCACCATTTGGTGGACTCCCATGCATGGATATAAGCATTGTTTCAGATGAATGGCACCATTTGGTGGACTCTCATGCATGGATATAAGCATTGTTTCAGATGAATGGTAGTTTTCATTTGTCTGAAAATTGTTGAGAGGAGAAGATAGACAGAAGCATAGATGAATGGGTGAGCAGATAGATGAAAGGATGAGTGTGCGATTCCATAGGCTGCCCATGTCAGCCAAAAACTGGTACAATAAAAGGTCAAATCAAAAGGGCTAGAAAATAGTTCATGTAGAACCAAAAAAAAACATTAATAAATCATCTTAGGCAATGAGTTTATATTATTACAGACATAAAATTCAGCATATCACACTTATTCTAATATCCCTTTGTACAGTTACATACCTGCTTCTTAGATTACGAAGTTCATAAATTCCATTGCTATGGTTACGTATAGTTTTCTCCATAGCATTCTGGTTGCCCTTCATTATGTTGGGAACCACACCAGAGTAATAGTCATATGTATCTAGAACAAAAAATAATTTTGTGAACCTGGAGGTAGTAAACACATATTCTGATATGCATTACCCAAGACAGGCTATGTCTTGCAAATGCAAGATGCTCTGATACAATAATCTAGAATAACAGATCAAGAATGTATTTCCCAATACAGTTTCAAATTACTGATGTTCCATTATGAAAATTGTTCATATGATAAATTGACTATTTAAATGTCTTACCAGCTAAGAAGCGTTTGACTTCATCATTCTTTGTGGAATCTAAGACAGTCTCCTGTTTCATGTTCATGCAGTGCATGTCACACCCCCACTCTATAAGTAACTGGAAGTAAAATAAATAATTCTGAGTGCATTCCATGTAATATATGTACTAATACAGTAAAACCTGTCTAGTCTGAATGCCACTGGGACCAACCAAGTGTTCAAATTATCAGGTGTTCACATTTCAAGCTTTTTAGATATGTGAGTTACTGGGTGATAACAAATTTGGGAGCAAGAAAAAGTGCTCACAATGTGTTCAGAGGTACAGGTTTCACTGTATTTGGTTATCTTGAGAGGATATAAGCCAAATCTGGGAAAAGATGCATTTACATTTTAATTGGGACATTTTGCCTTCTAAATATGGAATTGCTCATACTTATATTGGACACTTACATGACATATATTCCTATGGATGCCTTCCACTGCTAGAAAAAGTGGTGTCAGCTTGTGTCGATTCTTCAGATCAATGTTGGCAAAGTTCTCTAGTAAATACTGCACTATTTTCTGAATAACAATAATACATCAGATAGATTACTATTAAGAATAAAACATTGAATTTTTTTTAAACTAATTAATTAATTTTTGTATTTGGTGTTGGGGGTATCTTGCCGATTTTGTTTTGTCCATTGTGTATCCATGCAGTGTGCCGCTGCCATCTGTCCCAAAGTTTTCACACATTGGTAAACTGTGACCTGACACAGCCTCGTGTAACAGCTCCATGAATCAGGATTGACTTCAAGTACAGTACACTCACCTCATAACCTAATCTACATGCCCAATGCAGAGCTGAATTCCCAGTCTTGGGTTCTCTCGCATTGATAAAGGATGGATGTGACTTGAAGAATACCACCATTTTTTCCACAATATCAAATTCGTTAGACTTTGCAGCCATTATGAACTGATGCTGCCAGTTGATGGTGTTGCCAGGAAACACTTGGTAGAGAAAGTAGGATCCATGTTTCAGTTGTTTGTTCCTGGATGGGGCTTCAAAGAATATCTGCAATATAAAAAGTGAATTAATTTAAATATGTTTCCAATATTGTTGAATCTAAAAGCACCCGCCATCCTTTATTTTTTTATTTTTCCTCCAAATCAAAATAAGGTAAGACATGTCATATGTACAGGGCATTACCATGCAAAATGTCAACACCTGCCATTTGTTACAGACATGGAACTCCAAATGCGGAACTCTTAAAGACACATAAAATCAAAATACCATAAATCTAAAGGTAAGACATCAAAAATATCTGTTTTATATAGTTTTTATGAGATCAAGCTTTCATCTTAACATTATTCAATATCTTACTATCAACATCTCTCTATTCCTGTACACTGTACAGAACATCACTTATTAACTAAACTCACTTCATATTCTGGGTAATGGTCTGGGTTTACTTCAACAACATCATATTGCTTCAGTCTCAACAGCTTACGCACACTCACTGGAAATACAACAGAGTTGCTATGGTTAAAATATAGTTGCTTTAACAACTGTACAGTGGAGCATCTCAGTAAGTGGAACACCACCAAAAGTGGAACATTTCTCAAAATCCTAAATTATCAAATACATATTCAAATGATGTGATTCTTTTATTTTGGGTCTATGTGTCGACTGTATTCATCATCTATCCATTCAAAACTAATTTAAAAACACCTTTAGTGAAAGGTTCATGCACCACTAACAATCTCTGAACTTCTAAAGACTTTTTACACAAAAGCTTTGTATTAAGTATTCAATCAATTGCGTCATTATTTTTGCTCATTTTTTCATCTTCAACATACATACAAGACACAAGTACATTGTACACTTATGTACAGTTGCAAATTCATATGTTGAATTAAGCTTTGATGAAACGTAATTGCAAAACCATGTAATAACAATATGAAATTCTAGTGAGGTGAATACCTGTGTATCTTTCAGAAATGATATTCAATGAATTAAGCGTGAAGGCTTTCAAAAAAATAAAAATACCTTTGTTTTTGGAAGTAAAGTCATCTAAAAATTCGCCTGTCTTTTTATTCCTCAATACAATCCTTCTTCCTTCTCCACAGAGTTCCTTGCTATCGCACAGGTAGAAGCCAGCACCATTGGTCAGTGTCTGAAATCAACCAGGGAGTACAGTCAAATATAATGCAGCATCCATTGCAGATATCTTAACATACATGTGAGATCCCAAAGTATTGAATTGAAATCAATTATGGTAATGACAACCAGTTATCTAAAATGTTTGATAATTCTGAATGAAAAGTGAGCTGATTAAATCAAAAGTAGAGAGTATTTTTAACATTTATCTACTTAAGCAATTAAAACATTTTTACAAATGTTCAAGGGGTGCACTGGAGTGAATGGGCAACTTGCAAATGAAACCATTATATTTAAAGCTTCACTTCAAGTTCAATCAGTATTCCCAAAAACAGCTGAATATTTAGTGCTGTCTCATTTTACTTGACTTACCAAGTTGATAACCATAGAGAGGCACATATCATTTATTGTTATATTTCTTGGTACTTTCACAACATCAAATCTTTGCTGGATCTTCTCTCTCACAATCTTGTGGGTCTAAAAAACATATTCATCAATCAATTTATATTTTGATTATGTCTTGAAGAATAACGTGTGAGATTAAGGGTTTTATAATTTCAGGTATAAGAGAAACAGTCTTGAATGCCACGAAATAAGGCAGTCTTAGTATCACCTTTTCACACAATGCCTTTACACAATGCAGCTATTGACAATTTAGATGATCCTTACAAAATAACCATTCTATGAATACTTTAAATGGACTTGCAGACAACTGCAGAGATACCCAGGTACATGTGCTTGTAATTTTGAACTACTTTACTCACTTCTTTGACGACATCCTTTACATGGTCCCTCCATTTTTCACAGAAATCAACATCGTATTGTTTCCTAATGACTTCAATGTCTTCTCTGTGCATCTCAATCTCTTGTTTCAGCTCCTTACGTCTGTTCATCTCCTCCATGTTAGACACAATCTGTGGAAACTGGTCCAGTTCATGGAGGCATTCACGGACCAAACGTTGTAGCCATTCCTTAACAAAAATTCACAAGACATTAACAATTTAGCATGCAAAATGGCACCACTTGCTATTTGTTACAGATGCTGAATGCCGAGCACCAACCGCCAATGTGTCAACTGTCAATATATATTGATTGTAATAAGAACATTACAAAAGTTTATAGTTATGAGCACATAGAATTGATATTCCAAATGTAAAACTTGATACAGCCTTGTGATTCAAATTCGATTGTAGTCTTGAGATGTATGGAACATTACCAGCTGGGCAACCTTCACTTCATCTATCCACATTTAAAACACAGAGTGTTCATGCAATTTACCATTCTATTAATGACTGCTACTGCTTGTCTGTATTTATACGCCACCAGGAAGAAGAAAGTGAAGTATGAACAGACAGACATTGGGTCAGCTTCTACCAAGTCCTCTGAGTTGAATGGAGAATCAGCATAGAACATTTTCTCAGCAGTTTTTAACACAAGGTTGATTGTCCATCTAGAAATACAGAAAGTGGATGAAGCATGAACAGAACAGATAAGCCTTTACCAAGACGTCTGCCTTGAATGAAGAACCTTCTCACTGTCTTCAAAACATGACACATTGATGTTAGTTGAGAAACATTTACACAAGGTGTATATCTAAGCAAGGTTTTTCTGTGTTTTTTTTTACTTATTTATGTTAAACAATGATTAATAAATTAAATAAACACTATTGTACTCTTACTTCGGTGAAACCTGTTAAGGTGAACACCTCTAAAAGTGAAACACCTCTGTTAGTGGAACACTTTTCAAAGTCCAAAGACCAACTGGCTTAATTCTAAATGAACCTCTCTGAGTTGAACACCTCCTAAATGAAACACCTTTACAGGTTTAACTGTCCTTACTTGTCATTGAGTAATACTTCAGTGGTAAATATGTTTGGCACAAAGGAGTTGAGCAGTGCACAGAGGACACGACTGTCTACAAAATCATCAATGCTCTGAAAATAATCAAATATTTATTTTCACATGCATGCACTGTATATTGACAATTTCATTCTTCAAGACAATTATTATAATTTGACAAACTATCAATAGATACAACTTTCTTTTGATGGGAAAAAATGATTTCAAATTTCTGTATGATTAGCAAATAGACATGCATGTCATCTGTATGTATGTGTTCAAATTCTAATGAACTCTTACCTCACAAACAAGCTTCCTTCCCTCTCTTGTCATCTGAAACCAAAGAAATAACAAAGTGAAAATATATTAATTAATTCATATATTTTATTTTCTGTGCAATGAAAGCTACGTGTATTGAGATTGAAAAGGCAGTTAGAATTTATGAATTCTTTTGCATCATAACAGACACTACATGTACATTCTTATAAACTACATGTAAATTGTCTAACTTGTCAATAACCATTAGATATTTCAATATTTGAATGCAATTTTTAAATTGAATCAACATGAAATATATGAGACTAGTTCTATGTAAGTTCATCTCTCTGTTTTATATGATATCTTTTTAAACACTTTATTCATTTCTTCATGCAAATCAATTTATTTTATCAAGACTTTTGACCTGTATCTTTTTCAAGATTGAATTTTTATAAAAAATACATAGAACAGCATATATAAAAATAAAATAAATTGATATTACATGAACCTGTAAATGAGACTATTTTTTTAATGGGTACCACTAGAAACCCTTTATTGACGATATATCAATTATAATACAACAATCAAATAAACCAAACAGTATACAATGTACATAACCATTAGATAATTTCCCTTTAAGCAAAACTATGTATTTTATGTAATCCTAGTAACCTCTAGTATTAACTTGTAATATTGTAAAGTAAAATAAATATGTTATTTCTGCAAAGTGTACATACAGTAACCAATATCACTAAGATGGGTTTATGTCTCAACCTAATACTACAAGAAAAGTGGGTTTGACATATTTGTGTCAGTTAATAATTATAATTCGAACATGACTGTATTCACGCCTTCTACCAGGGCCTTCTACCCGGGGCATATTCGAGATCAATGCCCTGGCTCTGTACTAAGTGTTTTGTTCAGTGCAAAAGCTCAACCGGAAGTAGAAATGAAAAAAATGGAAATGAACATCGAAATTGACGATTCTGCAATATTCTGGTGAGTTTTAAATGTTCCAATGGTAATATAGACCTCAGAGCAGGGCAACTATTTTCGAATACACCCCTTAGGGCTAGGCACAAAAACTTTCGAACCCCTCACTACCTGCGGTCGTTGGGGGTACAGAAAACGTTTGTGCCAAGCCCTGCGGGGTGTATTCGAAAATAGTAGCCTTGCTCTTCAGTCTATATTTCTTAATTAGCCACCATTACAAGGACCATGAAATATTGAGAATGTACTCACCTTTAGATGTGTTTGTACTAGTTCAAATATGCACTCATCAGGTCTCGGGTAGTTACCAGGGGCAGGACGATTCTGTTTATATTGCTTCATCTTCATAGCTCCAGGGTAGGGATCCCATTTGGGAGGGGGTGGGGAATCATTCTGTTCCTATAAGATTTCTTATATTTGAAAATAATAATCCAATCCAAAAAATTAAATATAGTAAATGCACAATGCAATTCATTGTAAACAAGTAAATGACTAGATACAGTCAATTGCTTTTATTTTCTTTATCAAAATATTTAGAGTTAATATCTTGTTTGACACATATTGGACATTTAATCATTCAAATAAAGAAAATGTTTATTGTTGTTTAGCAAATTACATATAAATTTCCAAAAATCAAAGAATATAACGAATATTAACACAATGGACTTTTACCCCTGCCCCTAGAAAAATAGTTTTTTTTGATTTGGCATCAGTTGAATGACCTGTTGGGGCTTTAATTAGAATTAAAGAAATGTGTAGAGAGTCAAAAGTACTACTTACATCCCCCGAGAGTTTTTCCTCAATAAATGAAGATGCTCCAAAACCTGACAGCAATGACTGCTTCCGTCGTGTTTTCTTTTTGGCTGACTTTGGTGGAGGATCAGGGGTCCACTATGAAACCAAAAATTTATTATCACACACTTAAATGCATACATCTACCCAATACCCATGAACAGCAGAATGGCTTGTTTTTGACACTGCATATTATGGTAAAAAAAACAATAAAAAATGATTAATTGTTAATATCATTTTATTTTAGAATTTAATCAATGTCACAGACTAAAGGGTTTTTTCTCTTCAGATGTTTCAGAGACAGTCTCCATTATCACTAAACTCATGAGTAAGTTGAGATCATAAGGTCATCATCATCTTATTACTAGGCAATACATGGACCATTTGTGGGATGATGTTGAAGTATCGCTATAGTAATAATAATTTTGTTTGTGGCAATGATTAAATACTAAAATGAATAATAATTACCAGACTGAATCTATTTAATGAAATCGTAGGGCATTTTCACTGCCTAACAAGATTGAAGAAGTCATACCTTAAAAGGCACTTCACATAGAATGTCATCATCTTTATGCTGCAAGAACTCAGCTCTCTCCCAGACAAACCAGATATCATGACTAACTAGTCGCCATAGTAACTCAAATATCTGAAACATGAAATTCATTGAAGTTAATGAAGTGCCACATTTAACACATGTACAATAATGACAAAGGAGGACATATCACTTTTCAGTTAAAAAAATCTTTGATGCTCCTTATGTTACATGTGCAGTGTATGTTGCTTGTTCCTTTGCTATGAGATGTAGTTTTCTTATCTGATTCTGGTAATATTTCAACTTTTTAATAAGATTACTTTAAATTATGGACTACTGCATGAGAAGAGTATGACATGCATTACAAAAACTATAGCAACTATAGTACATTACCTGATCTGCACTCCTCATTGCAAACAGCCTTGCATCAATGAACATGTCTCCTGGTACTATATTACTGCAATAGACCATATGAAAGGTATAGATCATGATCAATTTAAAACAATACAAATCAATAGATATATTTTGACAAGTCATTCGTATCTGCAGAATTACAGAATTTAAAACATCAAATCTTTTAACTTTAAATGGCTCTTACATTTACAGAGCATTGACATATAATAATTCCCTTGACCCTATAAGACCTTGACCCAATGTTATCAAAGTGTGATATGTGAAACTTTTTTTTTTAATTTCAAAAAGTGGTATTTGATAGACTTTTTGTTCCAAAATTTGTGAATTTATTTAAAACCAACTTTTAGAGGTCACTCATATCTTCTAATTAGCCACAATTCATACCAATGTATAGCATTCATCCTCCCATGTTTTTTGCCGAAAAAATTAAGAAAATCGTTTCATAAATAAGCGAGAAATGAACTTATCAGTGCATGAAAATGGTTCTGAGAAAAATGCATTTCAAAATTTTAGTTCTCATAGAAACCAATGGTACAATGATATCTAAAACATAATTTAATCTTCCTTTTAACCTGGTAAGACAATCAACATTGGTTTTTTATGAAAGTCTAACATATTTAGAAAATATTGACATCGAAAAAAAAATTTCAATTTTTTTCAAAAAGTTTTTGGTACCTTAGTGACATCACTAATGTTTCAAAATATTTTTGATATGCTAAAACATTGAAGTGGCCCATTAAATATGGCATTTTATTATTGAAATAGTGTGTCCTTTGTTCAATCTTTGCATTGGTGTTAAAAAGATAATCTTTTTTGAAATGCATTAAGAAATATTTGATGATTAAGAAATTTCAACTTTTTTTGAAAAATGGTGGGAAATTTGAATATTTGAGAAATGAAATGCTCACAACTTTTTTTTCAAAATTTTTTTTTTGTTCAAAAATCTCTAAAATCACTTTTTAAGTCCTGACAAATAGTAAATGAATGATAATAAAATATTTTCAAACTTTAGACGGGGACTTTAAGAAATCTTGATATCCCTCCCCTACTTCAAACCTTCGATCAATCTGTCTACAGTATAACCTTAGAACAATTGGTACATCATTCCAGTACTACACTCATATATTCCCTGTCCCCTATAGAGATATAGATACAAGTGTAGACACCCTTGACATATTACCCTCTAATTGTAAAAGATCCTCTAATCTTAGCCAGGCATTAGCACAAACAACCCCAAAGTACATACCATGTTTGTAATTCTCTGAGGATCCATTCCACTCTTGTAATTTTCTGCATTTGGGATAATCCATCAAAACTCTGGAGTTGTTTGAAGTCCCTTCCAGTCATGCTTTCAACCAATTCTTTCATATTTGTTCCCGTCATCAAGTCCATCAAAACATTGTTCATAAGATGGTCATGAGCTTTGAGGCGAAGGTTCACCCAGGCTGTGAAGCCTCGTATTCTCGTTCTAAGTGACATCTTGGATCACCAATGAACCTACTGTACAAATTAAGCATTTATCAGTGAGAATACAGTATCAACCTGCAAAGTTTCAAATATTGCAAATATAACTAAGTTGTTTGTAAAAAACTAAATATGTACATGTACATGCATGTTATCAGGTTATTGTAGTGAAATGCAGAATTGACATTTTTTCAAAATACCCTCGACACGCCTAGCCTTGACGTAGGAAAGTTTGCATGTAGAATACGTTTTTCGACACGTGTGGCTAGATACAATATGGCAATTTCCTCACAGTCTGTATGAAGTTATGATTTGGGGCAATCTGATTGGTCACAATGACAAATTTTGAAAAATTGCCCGGCAATTTTGTTTTTGAATTTTTGATGATTTAACTATCAGTAGGTGCAATCTTTGTTCAATTTCCTGTGGTATCACTACCCTGATATATTTTTACAATATTTTACTGGCAGATCTAGAAAGGGCACGCCCCCCCCCCCCCCCCAGCCCCCCTTTGGACCCAGAAAAAAGTTTTAGAGCCCCAAAAATATTGCAGGGCCTCAAAAAATGGCCCTATTTAGACAGATTTTTGGCCATTATTGGCCAAACTACCCAAAATAGACCTTCAATTTTCAAAATTTGGGCCCAAGTTTTGGTTTTAGGGCCTCAAATATTTTTCCAAGCAACGGCAAAATTTGCCCCCCTCCCTTTTTAGCTCCTGGATCAGCCAGTGTATTGGGACAGGTTTAGGATCATATTCAACTGTTTGATATGGAAAAATTACAAATGGGCAATTTTACGTTGTTGAACTTGGAGAGAAGAAAGTAGCCTACAGTGTATACTGTACTACTTTTTTCAAGGCCTGACTTAGACGTGGATCCACGGCTCTAGTGACTTATTTGACTCTCGGAGTTTTGATAGGGTCACTAGAGCCGTGGATGCACCTGTATTAAAATCCTCAAACTTCAGAAAATTAAATTTATTTGAACCCAGCGCTACTTTGGAGTTGATTTCTTTTGATTCCCATTTGGTTTTTTTTAAATATATTTGTCCCAATGTAATGTTATATGATAAATTGTTAAACTTACCATACATAAGTTGTTCTGCACGATGTAATTGCGCTGATACTATAGGAAAATCATCACTTTTTAAATTATTTCAAAATTTTCTATAGCGGCACGAGACTTCGCGAGAAGAGATAGGGAATTCCATAATGTATACGATGCCATCTATTTTACTACATAAAGTTCATATCAATCAGACTGCATAGTAAGCAATATTCAACAGTGAATCCCCGGGAGTGAATCACATATGTTGAAGTTTAATTAAGGAATTCTCATTATAGACAGTGACTTTTATTATAGTTTCTAGTTTTAATAAGGAATACCAAACAGAGATAGTGACTCTTAATTGTTTAGACCATATGCAGATTCATTTAGTCACGTGACTTGTGACATCACGCATGCGCATAAATTATGTAGGTCAACTCAATTTTGAGAATTCGTTCGACTTTCTCTAACCTGAAAAATACAAAGACGCTTCTTGATATAATTTCCACTATAAACATGATTACAACTAGGGTCAATTTGAAGACAAACAACGTCGCTACATAGTGGTCCAAAAATTTTAAAGATTAAGGTAAGGAGCTCCGAGAAAAAGCAAAAACAACCGATCGGTTGTTTTTCAGAATCTCAACTTGCCTAGGGTTTTTAATGCTTGGTGATGCGCCTCTGGGGCCATGACAAATCTCAGATATATATATAAAGGCCCAGAGGCGCATGAATGCACCTAGGCCTGACTGCGTCGCTAACATGCTAAATATAAGACTTAGCTGACGTTTGGGAGTCTGACTTACCTTCTAAAGGTTAGAACCCGAATCTTAATGAACCCATATCACCTTTGTTGCGTCGACGATGATGCATAAACATAGCATTTGATAGAAATTAGCGTAAATGCTTTTCCGACTTTTTCATTTTTCATCAATGTTGACTTCCGGGAAGGCGTTGTAGTTATCACGAAATAACGCATTGACCCTTGAACTTTACTTTGTTGACGTGTCAACCAAGCATGTCTGGTGTGAAAATTAAAAGAATATTAAGCAATGTTCTACATCCGCCAAGCTAAGTGAAGTAGTCAATATTTAAAATTACCAATTTCAAGTGAAGTACGCAACGAACGAAACTGCGTGATCTACACTCCCACTATTGGTCTGAATGAAATGCTACGTAGAAATATGAGCCGTCTGCTGTATTAGTCGATTAATAGAGTAAGACCTGTTGGTGATGCTTTATAATTTAGACCAAAACATTGAAGAACAAACGAACCTGTAAATCGTGAAAACAACGAACAAATATTCGGTTTTCACATATGTTCGGTAATTTTTCGTATTGAAACTTCCGGAACTTACAAGGAAATCATTCATTTTCTCGATCCATGATTCACCTCTTGGATGTTGTGGCAAATGCTCCATGGTTGACGGAACAAAGGTGATATGGTTTCATTAAGATTCGGGTTCTAACCTTTAGAAGGTAAGGTTTAGACTCCCAAACGTCAGCTAACTCTTATATTTAGCATGTTAGCGACGCAGTCAGGCCTTGAAAAAAGTAGTAGTCACTATTCAGATCATGATTTGGGGTTCAAATCATAACTGTGAGAGAGTTTCCTTACCCTTTTTCTTCTCTTCTGATATTATGAAAAATTGTCAAAATTATTGCATAGCATACCTCTTATACTCAGCTAGGTTTAAAATTCATGCTTGAAGAATTTTGATCAGTAAAACCGTTGTTAACCCTAAAAGTCTATCATTTTGCACTTTGCCGACTTGGCCGCCATTTGTAAACAATTTCCTTAGAGGTCGCCAAAACATTGACAAAGTAATGTTTTTCACAAATGTTATGAACTATTAGTAATCTTTTGATAGTTGAAAAGGGACAACGAAATCAAATTCATAAGAATTATAAATATTAATAGTGACAAATCTCGAAATTAATCCTATATTCAATGTAATTTTTAATGTCTAAGCGACCCAATTACCAAACCGGAAGTTCAGATTTTGTTGTTGATGTTTTTAAATCTGATTTTCAATTAGAGTGTTTTGGGAGTTATCTTACGAAAATCTAAAGAATAATTACTACTGAAGAAACAAGAACCTCTCTTTCTGATATACAATGGCTTCTGGACCACCGCACAGTCCGAGAAGTGCAAGACGTAAAGCAATGAAAGTCGCCGTTTCAGGATTGTGCTGTGAAGTTGGATTTCAAGCTGCAGATGAAAACGCAATTGAAACACTTCTTGAAATGATGCAGAGCTGTAAGTAGTTATATTTGTCAGACATTAGCACGGACTTCAAGTACCTTCTGCGAATTTGCTTTTTTAATAAGGGAGGATTGGTATCAGGATCCAAGATGGCTGACGCTCGGGTACATGTAGTTCAACATCGTTAGGGGGCTATTTAGCCATTTTCCCCTCTTTTTATGAACATGAGTCGCTTCGTAATGATGTATATAGAAAATATAGTATCCAAGGATTCTTCTGATATGTGGTAAGTAGTAACAAATCGTTGCAAATGTGCTTTGAACAGGTCAAATGAGAATTATGACAACGATTTGGCATAAGGTCACGTGACCAACTCTTTATAAACATGCATCCGCTGCTATCAAATGTGATCTCAAAATGTTTGTAGTTTATTTCTGAATAGTCTCTTAAAGTTTGGTTTCCGTCACTTAAATAGTTTTACCGTAGTTTACAATTGATGTTAGACTGAAGTGTAACTGCCATTTCCGGCTCTTGGAAAACATGTGCTTGTGATTAAACATGTGAGCATATCCTGCTATTTGATTGGACATCGTGTAGACTGATGTGCATAATTCTGTTTACGTCGTCCATCTGGCAGAACTCCAACTTTAACTATACCAGTCGACAAAAGAAAACAGTTAAATGAGGCTAAAAATACATTTATACAATTACAATTTGCGGATGATGGGATACTAGACTCTGATAAATACAGCTGTTCGAGTTCAAGGCAAGAATCCGGAAATAAAAAAGTAACTTTATTTTTTGAATTCTTTTTTCCAGTCCTGTTTATATCATGGTGGTAGAGCCCATGTTTATATACAATATTAAGAGTTTGCAGAATGTACTTGACATCCATGGACATTAGTACCTTTGTTGAAATACTTGCTTCTGATTGGTCCACCACTGCATTATAACAGTTCACCGCACCTTCACATTCTGACGTATTCATATTAGTGAGTGCAAATCAACATGCATGTAAAACTTGAGATTTGAAATGTTGTGTGATTGTCAGATTCCAACATGGCAATCGGAAGAATTTTTTTTCAATTTCAGTTTTAGACCAAACCCTCCATGTTCATTTAATTTTAATTTTAACCAGGGTTTGTAGTCTAAAAACAGGTAAATTTGCACATTTTGGGCTGAATATAAGATATTTTTTGCATGAAAGCGCATCCTATTTCAAATTGCAACAATCTTCAAATGTTTTATGTTTTATCTCATTCTGAGTGAGCAGTGAATAGACACTGCAGCGGGCAAATTAATAATATCGAAAATCTGGATATAATAGTCTACTTGTATCTACAATTGAATTGATGCATTGTACTGATTAAATTATGATATATGTATTTTATTGCTTTGCTCAATTATTTTTTGTGAAAATATTTTCCAAAATTATAAAATATTAGAAGAAATCCCTGCGAATGAATTTTGAGTAAAAGTTTTGTTGATAATAAATGTAGATATGTGTACCCTTTGCATTAGTTTGACTTCACTTCTTAAAAGAGAGCTTCGTCTTCACTCTTTCAAACTAAAATAAACCTGTGAACTCACCGCGCCAATCAGTGTTCGTCGGCCAAATTTGACCGACGTTCTTTATATGGTCATTCCTTCTGACGTCATTGTTGAGCCCGGAATTGACCAATGACATGCGCATATTTAACTAGAACGCATTTGGCGTATGTTTCTTCAATCAGGTCAAAAGTGATTTACCCAAACTGTCACCGGTACCCGTCGTGGGGGCGGGGCTACTAAACTGTAATATGGTCTCTACTAGGCAGAGTGTAGTTTAACTAGACTCTGCACGCAGGGTAATATATGTGTTTCTCCTTAATTTAAATCTTCAAAGTAAAGTCATTGTTACCACGTGTGAACACACGCCCCCTGGTTATGCCTATATGCAAATGTAATGAGCTTTTAAGAGAATTTTTAAATTAATGAAAAGTTCAATCATCAGAGAAGTTTTTGAACCATGTGGGAGCCTTTAACTAAGATTTTAATCATTACAGATGTGTGTGAGCTTGGTAGGAGTGCCAAGGCTTATACAGAGCTTGCGTGTAGAACAGAATCCATGCTGACTGATGTTGTCATGGCCATGGTAGAAATGGGTAAGAAAATAAGATAAAAACCTCAAAATTTGTGAAATTCAGAAGTTCATAAGTTTCTCAAAACAGCAGCCAGTTTTGGTTAAAACAACTGATGAAAATTACAGATTGTCTGCTGCTCATGAAACCTTGAAATTCTAATTCTAAAATTGACAAACAGGAAGTCATTCAGCTGTTTTTGATTAAAAGTTATTTTTACATAATTTCATGGTATTTGATAATTTAATTTTGCCTATATTGAGAGTACTTTACATGTAGCTGGACTAATTCATTCAGTGGACCCCTTACATTGTATTATTCTTCCAGGTTGCGATGTTCAGAGCCTACCTCACTATGCCAAGAGAGACAATAGAAAAGCTTTCATGCCTCGTAAGTTGTTTGTTTACTTTCACAATTCTGATATTGGAAACATTAAGAGGCAAGTGTCACTTAGCTACTGGAGGGATAATTTTGATACCCATTGTTAAATTTACATCAGCAAAATGAGATATACAGTTATTAACCATTTAAAGGCCACCCTATGTGTAGTCTTCTGTCACATGACTTCATGGATGATATGTGGGAGAATGGTTCGCGGGTCTTTCCACTTCAGGTTTATAATGATACTTTTAACGTAGTTTTAGACTTTTTATATCTGTGAAACTTGTCCCGTACCATCAATGTCTAAAGACAATTTAATTCTCCAAATATCTCATTCATGCAATTCCTGGTTAAAGAGAAATTCACTCTTTTGTGTCTCGGAAAATGATGTGTGGGCGAATGAATCCCTAAATCGAATTTCATGAAAACTTAATTACTTGAGTAATCCTATACATTGTGTCTTATAAGTATATTATTAGTGTTGACTTTGGGGTTGAAATCAAAAGTTACTGTTAAATTCAAACTTAAACTTTACTTGAGTCATCCTATACGTCATGTCTTATATGTATTCTATTATATATGTACATTATATTACATGAAATCTTAAAGAACCTAACCACTTTTCACTCCTCACAAAGAATATTTTTTCTTCTGCCGAAACTCAAAATTGCCATCTCCTCAATATCTAATGAACCATCCCTTATTCAATCATTTAGTGGGATACAGTCTTTCAGATTATATTTCTATTTATTGGGAAAGCTTTTCAAAATAGATACAAAGACCTATAGGTTTGATTAGTCCATTTCAAAATGCTGATAGAGCATAGAAATACACACTAAAAGTTGATTATAGGTACTTTGCCATCTTCCAAAATATTGTTCTCTCTGTACTCTCAATAAATAAACTGCCAATAGTGTTCATGTAGGAGTAGGTACCTGACAGTTCATTAGTAGTATATTTATTTCCTTTTCAGCATGGGGAGATAAATTATATATTACAGAACATACTATATTAAGCTGAACTATGACATGTATGATGTACTTATTGTACATTATATGTTTTTTTGTATATTACTATATTTTCTTCATAATTTTGCACACATGTTACCTGTTTACTATGGTATATCATGCAAATTAGGTGCTTTCTTTTTTTAATATCTATCCTATTAAGAAGGCATGGCCTGTGGATTAGGCTGTTTTGGCTCGGTACACTCATTGTCCCATTTCCTACATGACACCGCATATCTTTTCCATTCAGGTTTCCAATCTGGTCCACAAGGTTGACCATCATTGAAATCATAAGGTACAACCCCAGCAAGTTGCTTTGCCTCATGTGTCTGGGCCACTCCTGGTAGCTCACTGATGGTGTTATTATTTGTTGTATGTTCACCAGGTGGGTAGACCTCAATACCCTCAGAAGGCCAGTGTCCAGTGTTATTTATTTTCTCATATGCATCACGTTTTGTTGCCAAATCATTCTCGTCAATCCAGATTGCTGGTGCCATGGCAACAATTAGTATGTAACGCCATCTGCCAGGATTTTTACGATCTTTTTTCGGAAGAGCATTAGCATGGATCAGTCTGGAGTCCCATAAGAGAAGACCTCCTTTAGGAACTGCAATACGCTTTTCAACAGCCCCTTTATTTTTGTACCAGGCAATGTCACTAGGCCTATCTGCTAGGTCACAGTGAGTCTGTTTTATACTTGGTTCTATGTGCTCTGGATGTGCTTCATAGAATTCAGAGTGGTAAAAGTGGGAGCCTTCTAATGCATGGAAACACCAATCATCTTCATCAGCTGTTTCTAGGTACACTGCACCCTGGTAACAATGTAGACCAATCCTCTCTGCTGATTGGTCACAATGTAACCAATGAGAACCCTCTGTGTAGAACTCAGTGCTGCCATCTTCTGGTGGACTTCCTATGGCAGGGATGTCAAAACTAGTCAGAAGTTTATCTGTTTCCCAGATTTTTGCAAAGGAATCCTTAATTTTGAGGCGTATCTCCCAACTAGCTTCCATATGGCCAGATCTGGAGATGAAATATCATGGTGTTATATATTGAAAGGCTGTGAAAAGGAGTTTAATGACCTAGGCCCAGATATAAGATATAAAATGTCACCATTTATTTAGTGCATTGTATACATATAACTAACCTGTACTCAGTTATCAAGCTTTTGTAGTTATGTGGAAATCCTCCATTCACTTGTTCAACATGTTTGAGCCATTGATTGTACTTGGCAACATATCTGTCACAGTCTTCATGGTCCAATGCATTCTCTATTATCACCCACCCCTTGTCTGCCAGCTGATGTTTGATATCATCCATCGATTGCTCAACTAAAATTGAAATTTGGTTTTATGAATGCCATGAGCAAATATGGTTTCATCAAATAAATAGAGTGAGACAAGTTTTCCTAAATCCATTTCATATCTCTGTTCATCAGCAAATATTGCATTATATGTCTATTGTCATATTTGTTATCTATTACTATATTTACTCAGATCATTATTGTAAAATTGCTAATATAAATGCATCTCAGTCTGCAACCTTGTTAATTTTCTGTGTCATGCATAGATTATCAAAGCAACATGACATATATCATACACTATCTATCCTATACACAAGTCAGCAGAGTAAACCACAAATGTTCAAATCAATACCACATCAATAAAAAATGCAGCACAGTTCAGGTACATAATATAACTTACTTTTGATGCTCAGCTCTGTTTCTAAGTTATAAATGTTACTTTGATAACAGTTGCTCTATAGCAGTTGCCTGTTCTCACGAGCCCTGAATAGATAACCATGTAACAGCATAAATGTTTGCTAGTGTCAAGTTTGACATGACTTATCTATTGTTCACACAATGTTATAAAAATGTAGATTAAGGTTAAGGAGTTTAAAGGGCAGCTAATAACACACTTGTTTTTGCCGTATTATTTTACAAATTTTGTGTTAAACCCAGTGTACAATGACAGTGCACAATGGGTTCTCCATAGACTTAAAGTTAGAATTAGACATATGGAAAACAAAAGGTGAAGCATCTTTAAATGTTTCACCAACCATCTTTAGATAATTTTGTATAAAAAATATTTAAAAGTACAGATGAAAACTTTTTCCAAAATGTATATTGACCTGAGGCATATCATTGTTTGTAAATTCTCTAATGTTTCTATCCAACAGCTGTTCACAGTCACCAGCCAGGTACCCCAAGGGTCCTTCAGGCAGGGAAGCGCGAGAACCACCCCACCCACGTACCTGACTACCTACCTCCATTTCCTGACCCACACACCTATGTCAGAACAGAGGTAAGTTGTGATTTGTCAAAAATGTTGTAAGTAATCAGGATTTCTCACTCAATCAGCTTGCGTATTGCTAGGTATTATGCCTGCTTTTCCAGAAAAACGTAGTTTCCCCCTGTTTTTCAAACAGCCTAGATACTTAAAGAAATATCCTGATTTTATTTTCTTGACAGGTATGCAGTATAGATCTTATTTGAAGAACTAGTTTTACATACATGCATTGTATGAACCTCTAAACTACTGTATCAGATGTATATCTTAATAATTTCTGGTGTATTTTTAAAAGACATGTACTAGCTTCAATAAAAATTAAGATGAACTACTTGAGAAAAGGGTAAGCACCAGAAACTGATCATTATGTACCATTAATGTTACAAATTATTTTATTCCCTCCCCAACAAAATGAGTAAATATCAACCATTGTTTATCGTCATAATTGCTTTCAGACGCACAAACAGCCAACCAATGATTACCAGACATTACGAGAGAAGGCAGCCAATCAGAAGAGAGATATTGAAAGGGCAACATCTAAATTCATGGCGAAAACAGGAGAAACACAAAAAATATTCAAAGACGATATTACAAAAGAATCTCAAGAGTTTTTATGTAAGCTCATACATAATATTTATTATTATCAAATTACATGTATTTGTTTGACCCCATCCCAATAATATAACTTACATTTTGAAACCTTAATACAACTTATCAGTTTATTGTCTGTTAGGTGTCTTCTCATTCTTATATAGCTGGCGATCTGAAGAAAAAATGCAAATTCATACTACATGTAGTTTCAACTGAACTAAAATTATACATTAGATTTCATGCCTTTGATTTTTTATAAACATACTTCTTAGAAAAGCTGCTACAACAGATGTACTACAGTGTGTATCATATGTATGCACCTCCTTAAACTCACATATGTAGCATGGCTACCCTATCATGTTATATATAATTTTATTCTTTATGGAAAGTTACATAATATTTAATATTTGAAGTACTCTTACATATGTTTGAACTTAACAATGTTTCGTATTGCCTTGTCCTATGTTTTAATTTAAATCAACTAAAATTTATTTTTATTTGATGTTTTAAGCTTTTTCCGCTAGCCATTCATGTGCATTTTTATGATCAACAAAAAATATAATGAAATCATGTCTTTATATTGCAGTGATATCCCCAAGGCCTCAAAAGATGCCATACTTAGATGCACTTCTACCAAAGTACCATCATGATGTTGATGGTTTAGAGATTGGCAAGGAGACAACCCCAAAGGAGCAGATATCTGGAGTCAATGTGCCTCTACCAGGCACCGTCATACCCACAGATACTGAAGTAATAACAGACAATCCTTATCTAAGACCCATCAAAATGCCTAGGTTAAAAAAGAAAGGAGCAAAATTATTTTAGATATTTATATTTGAGGTTCCTGGGGTAGCTTTACATGAACTGTGTTAATGTGTTTGTTGTCATAGAGGCATGGTGAATTTAGTAGTCTGATACAAAACAATTGTATGTAAATTTTCAGTTTCAAGTGCTTTAAATATATGGCCTGTTGTAATTTAGGGAGTTTTAGCCATGATAAATTTTTTGAAAACCACAAGCAATCCAAAATAAAACAAATGTTTTTCGAAAATATGAATATATTTTTCCATGTTATATTTTATTGTTGTTCTTTAATCCTTATTATATACATATACACGGTTTCTTACTGTGAACGATGTTAAAGTAACTGGTCCTAGACAAAATAACAGGGATTAAGCACACAGACATCGCCAAGTTAATAGGCCATATATACGGAGATACAACTCAATGGAAAGAATTCATGGCTTTGGACAAAGTGAGATTCAGTGTGTTTATTTTGGTAGAATGAAAATCAGAGTAGATATCAGTGGATATGTGAACTTTGGAAAAAAGCAAAAACTTTGATTTTACTATTGCAATTCAAACTTTTTCCTCCATTTCCAATATACATTCTTGAGAGATCTTATCGTAAATTGATACGATGAATGTATCAGAAAATAACTATGTTGATGACTTAAGTGATAATTTCATAGGACTCCATCTTAAAGCGAATACGATTTAAAAAAAAGTACGATCAGGTTTACATAAAATACAAGAAAATATCGATTTTTTCAAATTATTTGGAGAGTAAAATTACTGTGAAAATTATTTTAAATATGTTACGCCCAGTTCATTTTGTTCATTGTAAAATGTCCACGTCCAGGCTCAAGTACTACACTTATATTGCTAAACTCGAGGCCCCTGTCACATTTGCTCTACGACGACCGTAGTTCCCTGATCGAAGTCACGGGGATCGTAGGAAATCTGTAGCCGCCTTATGGTCGCCATATGGCATATCCCTTTTGTATGGCAACGATCATAATCAAGTGAAATCCAAGACATCAGAAGCACCGGCGCCCAGCCAATTTTCCCAGCTGGTGAGCAGCGCAAATGCGACTTCGCCATACGGCAGCTGCATTTTTTCTATCTACTCGATATTGTTTCTCATTACTTTAAAGTTTAGGCCCACTTTTTGGTTTTAGGGGCCAGCAATTTTTTCGGACTTCAATGTGCCACCCCCCCCCCCCCCCGCTTGTTGGTTCCTGGATACGCCCCTGCAAAATCCTCTCCCTTGAGGGTCTGAAGAGTTCTCGTATTCACTTGCGACATCTTTAAATACAAAATACTTAGCAGACCACAAGTTTATTCCTGGCACAATTATATATTCTTCTCTGGTTACGTTCCCTCTGACCTTAGAGGGTAACTAACCAAGCTGTCTACAATATTAGATTGAGATTGCTTCTGTTTGGAACGAAGAATTCCTAGTTTACATGTTGTGTGTGTATATTTGGCAAGAAGTAGTTGTTGTTAGCCATTCCTCACTGATCTTAGCTTTTCTGCCTTCTCGGATTATATAGTTCAACGCGGCCAATATCAGACTCGCCAAAATGAGGTCGAATGGGTTATTTACACCAAGAGCTCATATGTGGGCTAACGCAAGTAATGATGACGATTATTGGATACTAATAAATCTTTTTTAATTGGCAATGACTGGTGAGATCAAGACTTCAGTATGAATGCAACTAAAGATATAGAGCTTCTCCTTATGAGAGGGTATGAAAAGACAGATGGATGTATACTTTCACGGGTAAGATCTTTTTTGTTTCTATTTTGTTGTTGCTTTTGTACCTTATAAGGTGCAAAAAGACAACAGACATTCATCAATTCTGCATCTATAGCTTCATGTGCTTCGTGATTTAAGATTTATTTTATCATTTTACAGTCTCTATTCTTTGTTGACAGGTTCACTTTATAGATGGCGCTTACGTAGATCTTGAAAGAAACATGAATGTATTATAAGATCTCTAGTTTTCCTCAAATGCTGTATAATTTCGCTATTTTTAGACGTAGGCATGTGAAGGAATGACATGAGCCCGAAATATTCTGAAATTGAAACAGTATTTGTCAAGAGTTGTCAGTAATATCGATTAATGGCATTGGCCAGTAAAATTTTTTAATATATAATTTGTCAGTCAATATATCAACATAGAGTGAGTTACACATATCTGACATGTTAACATATTATGTCTCCCATTTTCTACCTTTCAACAGCGATAAGTCAGAGATACTGAGATGTCTGATACTGCATATTAGGTCAGCAGCTAGGGCTTTAGAAAAATGTATGTTGTGTCTCAACTACTCAAGTCACTCTCTGGATTCATAAATAGAGCCATATAGGCTTGGCCCTGGGTTTATTTTTAGCTTGTTTTCTAAAACAGCGGATCTTGTTATACAACAATAGATCTATTACTTCTCCAAGGGTAGAATTAATTTGAAAGTCTAATTTGGAAGATATAGGCTGAAAACAATGGATAGCGTGAGTTTTACCAATGGGTTTTGTTGTTTTCAACTTATCGGATTTCAACCCCGTACCACATCTCAGATAGACATACTAATATTATATGCTAAAAAATTAATGGTCGAGTAAGGAAAGGTTTTTCAGAAAATAAATCCGACATTTTAAAAATGTGTCGGCGTCCTGAACATTAATTTTTCGGAATGTGGAATCTTTACTTCGAAGTAAACGTGTGACTTTAATGAAATAGTTGGATTTATGGTCAGAATATAGTCGTGGTCAAAGTTATGACTGCCTTCAATCAATTGCTATACAATGCCTCTCCTATATTGGTGTGTACATACATAAATAACAATAACAATGTTTGGATGTATCTTGTTACGTGACCTTTAACCCACAACAACAACTAAGGACCTAAATGACCGGCGGCAATGATAAGGATCATATGATAAAAAACATGAAATTTATCAAATAATTGCATGACCCTAATAATGCGTAAGTAGGGTGAAGGGTTGTCTTATTCCAATTGATAAATAATCACAAATACATAGATATTAGATTGACTGCTGGTATTTGTTTTGCTCATTAGCTTGATTGCCGTGGATGTATTGTTTTTGGACTCGTGATTCATCGCTCAACTGTCCAATCATGTCCGAGCTGTGCCCATTTCAAAATTAAAATTATTTTTAGACGTACGCGACCATAACTTTAAAATGTAATTATTAAAATGAAAACATTGCATATAGGCCTATTCAATCAATTGCAAATGATAGCAATATTATGATTATACTGGTCCTAATGAGACTAATGATGGTTAAAATAAATACCTTTTGGTGGATGTGTTGAAAACGTTAATCAAATGGATGAGGACATTTTAATACCATAGTAACCAAGTCAACTAACACGTGTGCCTAACAAAATTACAAATTCAAATTGGCTGGAGGGACACAAGTATGCAAGGTAGGGTTACAGTGACTCATCTAACTTTGCTTTACAATGAAGGAAGTCGAGTAGCACCATTTAGGATTCCCATGTAGGTTGACCATTCAGTCGTTCATCTCTTAACCACAAGTGTCAAGTTTATACCACCTCCAAGAAACCCGGATACACTAGTTATGTGTTTTAACAAAGGATTATATCACATCAAAGAAAATGACAAAATAGGAGAAACATGGGAAACGGAAGAAATCAAGCATCTTGTATGCCTGCATATGCTGAAGTAGACAATTGTTATCTTCAAACTTCAAGAGGTAGTTGTAATGGAAAACGAGAATCAAGTAATACTATTCGAGTTACATAAACAATGCATTGCAATGAAACATCAAACTGGGTTAATGCTACATATTTTCTAGCAACAATACCTTGCACAAACTAGTCGAAAGTGAAAAACTGAACCATTATAGAAACCTCCATGAATAATGACAAGGATGCCCCCGCGTGAAATGGATACCTCATGGACCAATGAAAGACCAGCGTTGATAAGTCGTTCTTGGAAGCTTGCAAGACTGGTTACATATTTTGTTAGCAGACTCCAAAGAAACAAGAAACAGAAAGAGGTTGGTATCTCAGAGAAGGATGATGTTCTTGTTTATTAACCACAAACTCTTAGAATAGCTGTATACGGCGAGATTGTTTATCAATTGGCATATTCTTTAGATTCACCAGCTAGTTGGGAATTTGACTTTGGAGATACGGGGAAATGGGAAATGGAATATTTTTGGTTTGTTTATTTGAAGTTGATGAGTATATAAATGAGAGGTTGTGCTTTTTGGTTCTTGTATTCAAAGCAGTGGAATAGTAGTAAATCATGCCAGGGTTTATATTCAGCTCTCTGTGGATGGCGGTAAGTAACTTCTTAACCTCTTGGAATGGAAAGGTCTCAATTGCCAATTTTTATTCGGATCAGTAAACATACCATAGGATTGAGATTAGAATAGATAGAGTTCACTTGCCCGTAGCCAGCTTTTACCAGGAGGGGGAGCTTTTTTCCAGGGGGGGGGTTTTCACAATTTTGGCTAAAAATCATGTGAGAAATTCTCAGAATGGTGAAAAACTGCATGATTTTGAAAGAATTTCTGACCAGGTTCATATATATTGGCAAGATAGCAAATAATAGTGAGAGGAGAATATTGCCATTCAACATCACCTCTGTGCGATAGTTGGCGTTATTATCAATAAATCAGAAAAATATTGTCTTGCTTTTGGAGTGTATTTAGCACGTTTGTCTCATAATGCCAGTGTCTTTGGTTCGATCCCCGCTTCTGGCATAGGGTTTAGCCAATTAAATAAAAAATATCACAAGTTAAAGATAGAATATAATAAGACGGGGAAATTAATTAACCTCGAAAATGAATAGCAAAAATGGATAGTACATAATATTATTTACGAGGTACATAGACTGGAGGTATCTGTTCCGATGCCTGTGCTAGAAAGCCTCGAATTCTTCTAAACCGTCCTCGTAGAATGTATTGATTAAACGTGATAACAGTTCCCCTTTAAAAGATACGATGCTTGAAAACTGTAGATATAGGCCATATTACCCTAGCAGCATGCATTTGTCAATTAATGACTTTTTTAGGTTAGCGAATACCTGCGCAATATATATATTGATGCTTAGTCATTTGTTAGTTTTGGGATACATTAAAATGTCCTCAGTTGTTATACCTCTGTGAATATTTTCAGGAAAGTGTTACATTCCATGTCACATCTTGCCTATAATATGGTTAGCTGGTAGGAAATTGAATGTTGTACAAATGTGTAAAATATCAGGGAGTATGTAATTACCTAAAATAACAAAGATATGAGGAAAATGTAGGGTTTCCATTTTTGACCACCCTGTATTATTATTAATCTGAAATTTTTCCTTTCATACTATTAGAAAATAACATTGCTTGACATTTTAAGTTATTTTAAGTTATAAGGTGTTTGCACCACGACAATCCGGTCCATGTAAAAAAACCTTTTCACATCATTATTAAACTACTGTAGCTTGATATTTTCGAGGCACGATGACACGTCGTGCCTGGTGAGAATCGATTGAATGGCCAGTTCCCAAACAAGGGATTCACTCCGATATAATCCTTCTCAACACCAAATCGATCTTAGATCAAGAACTCAATTAATCATAACCAGAATGAGTAAAATTGTTATACTCAGCTAGTAGTCATCAAAAAGTACGTGGTATAAAACATAGTCAAGTGCACTCTTCATTTCTCTTACTGTATCGAGCAGTATGCCTGCAACAACCGGTCATTGTTTGACGTTGTCCTGTTTTTTCCGATGATGTCCGGAGTTCAGGCCATCTTGCAAATTGTCCAGTGATGCCCATTGAATTAATTTGTTATTTTTCCAACGGACATATCGGACAAGTGGACAGCGACGGACAATTTCTGGCGGACAACATCAGATAAAACAGGACTGCAGACAAATTCGATAAAAAAGAGGACACATGATCGCCATGTTGCTTTAAACTTTGACTTCAGTCCTTCAGTGCGGAACTGAATTGTGGAATTCATCAAGCACTGTACTGCACTAAAATGATTATCTAAGTGCAAAAATGTGTTTAAATTCTGCCAAATAGTGAATGTGGATATCCACATTTATAGCGAAAATAACGCATTAATAAAATAAATTGCACTTTTGGAAACGTGCTTCGATAGATCTGATTCACCTTTAAAACTGAAATATCATTTTTGCGCCAAAGTACATTTCTCAGAATATACTTTAAGAAAAACGCGTATTACTTAAAATTACGAGACGAAATAGTTCTTACTACTTCATAATCGATTATCGCTAACCATGTTACATTTATTATGCAATAACATCTAGGAATCCTTTTTGGCTCATCACATTGTATTTTCTACTATCAGTGCAAGTATACAGAACTGCGAGCAATTTGTGCAAGTAGAATATATTCTAAAATCAGAAAATTAGAAAATCTATTGACCGTCGCGAAATTGAACCAGGAGGTATTAGATCTAGTCGGGAGCAGGATTACAAAATGCCGTTGACGAGTTCATTCAAGGTAAGGACACAGATTAGGGTCCTTTGAGTATCATAATTTGGTATATTTTGTTATAAAGCATTGATAATAGAAAAATAACAGAGATACATCGCTTTTGTACTAGTAATTGTATTTTATATTGTTAACCAAACGTTTCACGTATATACTAAATGAAATAAAGTAGAATGTGTCTTATTCGAAAGCCAATGGGACCGGTCAAAATTGTTTGAAATACCACGTGTTCACATTCCAAGGTTCCTCAATATGTGAATCAATGGGAGATAAAAATGGGAAAACGGATGAGTGTTCACATTGAGAGGTGTTCGGATATACATGTTTTATTGCATATTTTACTTACATTTACCTGTCATATCATATGAATTTTTGGAAAAAATCATCCAGTAAACATGCGATGGGAAGTTTATTTACTGGTCGGGATTAAAAGTGCGTTTCATTCCTATAGTCTATTTGGCACAATATGATACTTCCCTCTGGCCTTCGAAACCAACGGGAAATATCAATTTGTCCCTCGGAATAGAACCCATATTCAATCCCTCCCAGTAAATAATCTATTTAAGAATGTTGCAATTGTTATTTAGGTAAATTACTCAATTTACCTAATAAGATATTCATTTGAATTTTTAAATAAGCTACTCTCCTCAAGCCAGAGCAAATCGAACCATATGATAGTGATGGATCGGACATACATTGTAGATGCTGACAGGGGAAACGTATATAGTACAATCTGATCAATATATTATCATGAGTTACAAGAAGTCATGGTCTATGCTTAGTTGTTCGGAGAAATCATTGAATAAGATCTGGGCTTAGCGTCACTGAACACATTATTAGGGAGGTTAATTATACGAGTAAGTTGGCACTGTTTTGTGGAACGTATGTACTATACGTGAAACGTACATATAATTGTGGTCCTACGTGGACTGTTTTCACCTCGCTGGCCTTTATTAGCCCGGGCAACATAGAGAAATCTTGGCCCTCAGGCCGACTTTGGCACTGGGCAAAGATTTCACGATGTTGACCTTTGGAATGAGGTTAATGCTATGTTCCATGACTATGTCCTGGCACGGGATAAAAACCGACAACAAAGATTAACATCTATTAGAATCGAGAATTATTATCTTTAGTGAATAATAACTTGTAATATTTTGAAAAAGTAAAATGTGCTTTTCACATCATTATCGAAAGATCCTAGACTCTTTGATATTTTATCTGAAAAAACTACGGTAACCAGAGAAAGAAGAACCCGAGACAATCTACTACCTAGCTCGAGTAACTAAAAACCTTTAATTATCTAAATAGTTCAATAGTACTGGTTGTCTCGCATAGACCCTCTTCTACCATCTCATTTTTCTCTACCACCGTGATATAGTTCATGGGGGAGTGCAGGGAATTAGTGCAAGACTAAGCTATTGTAATTTGATATTATAGAAATGTCATGCCGACTAACAGCTCTCAGCAAAATTATTAATCATCTTGAAAACTAGAATATGATGAAAGTTGATCTAAATTAATAACTAAGCCCTCTTGGGAATCGACGATGTGATGTTCAAAAACAAAATGTGATACAGTATATTGTTCCTTTACATCAATATAAATTCACGTTCGTTCAAGTTCAATGTTTATCACAATAAACCCAAAGCAACGGGAAATTACCCAAAGCGACGACAGAAAAAATAGTCGCAATTTTTCACCCTAAATAAGTAACTTTGGGAATATCCTATTCACAAATTATTCTTTACAGCCTTGCAATGAGTCCTTTTTACTAATTTACCTCAAATTCCACCAGGCTACATTTCTATGCGTATCAAATGTAAAAGATGGCAAAAAATTCGCCAAGAGAATTTCAGAATTTCTATTCGTCTTCTATACGTGTTCTCATGTCCAGCATTTTCCAGAGTCTATGATTGTGTTTGTACATGTGCCAAAGGGTCAGTACCAAAAAATGATTACAAAACGCAGCAAGAGAAAAAAACAGCCATAATGAATACAAACCCCAAATATCCCAAATAATAATCCAACGTGAAAAGAAACAGTGACCTGAATTGTGTTCAAGAATAACATGAATTGAATTGAAAAAAGAAAATCAAATGTCATCTTGAACACGCCTCCCCTCTCAGACTCGTATGGGAATAACAATAATTGATAAGAAAAATAACGTTTTATATTTGGTCAAGTTGACTTGATTTCTTAGGTGCGTCCTATTGATCAATACGCTCAGCTTGACCTTATTTGGCCTTAAAGTTGTTGTAATCTGCCTTCTTATTCTGGTCTTATCCGATAAAAACCGAAGCCAAGTTTCAACAGCGAAGCTGTGCCTAAGTGCCCGTGTGAAACTTTGGTAACCTCCGTGAATGACATGAATATATTATTTGAATGTCATTCATATGTCATATCTATTTATTATCATAACTTTAAAAATCGCAATATGAGCACGTTTGATCAGGAGGTGAAAGTCTACATTTTCAAGACTTGTTTGGTAAGTACATGTTGTGAGTAAAATTGTGTCACATTTTGCTAACATTTGATCGTTCACTTTCCAGAAGGTTGATGCAACGCCAGCTTCGTTTTATGATGGGACGAGTTTAGAGGATTTCATCAAAGACTGGGCATTCAGAGTCAGTAAGAAGAAGAGCAATAGCTTTGACGTAACCATCGACTACAGTAGTTTGGGTGTCAATGTGGACATCACTGAAGTAGTAAAAGGTGAACCAAGAACTGTTAACACGACCAATCCCGTATTATTCCAAACAAGTTACCAGAATATCTCGAATGATACAAGATTGGATGAATTTGTGAATGATTATGAGGTGAACTCAAAATATTGTGTGAAGCTTGATAGCACTGTTCAATCAACATTAGGCCCCTTGAACGAAATATCATTTCCAAATGGTTTCTGCGGCCTCAATATCGTACATAAATTCAGCCTTGGTGATCCCGCTGATCAAGATTTCGAGGAAAACAAAAAATATGTAATCAACAAACAAATCCACACCTTCCCTTACCATCGCACCGATGTCACAGTGACATCTGTTGAGCATGAAATAGACACAGATTTCAAGGTTGATATCAACCTTGAAGGTAAAATCAGTGTTAAACTCACAAAGAAAGATGGCAGCACGTCACCTCTTGAAATAAATGAAGAAATTTCAAGCATACTTGCTGACTTTGAAGAAGTCTCCAAAACCCCAAAAGGAGTACATTTAGAGATTAAAGGCACGTTTAAGTGTATCCATAGAGGTCAGGTGAAACTTCAACAGCAACAAACAGGTAAAAGAATTTTTAATGTACAGTAGACCATATCTAGGCTGAAGAAAATAAGAGTGCATTCCTTCATATCGCCTATTTTAGGCCGATAAAAAATGTCGAAAATGTTTGATCGAACTTTTAAATGTAAGAAGTAATTCTAAAACGTCATTTGCAATGATAATTAGATTTTGATATATTGTTTTTCATTTAGTATTACAAGAGGAATGCAGTGGTAGAATACGAGAAGTAGAGGAACGGTTTGGGAATGATGGAAAAGTAAGATATTGCATGACTTTATAGTTGAGCTAGTTTTGTCAATGTGTAATGTTTTTATCCAAACGTCTAGTTCATAATTCATTATTTTTGTTCAAATATTATAAGATATGTTAACCTGTATGTTTGTAAGTTCACGTGAATGTAGTTACCGAAAGATTGCTTTCGTCGATCATTTGGTTTACCATCCACTCTCATTCATTTTCAGTCTTTACAAAAAGATGGCAGAATATTATACTTCGAGGGGGAGTTTGATAAAGCAACTCATGGAAAAGTCAAAAGATGGCAGCATAAACATGTATTTCTATTCGACGATATTCTTGTTTATGGAGTTCCAGCCCATTCCGGAAACTCGGTAAGTGGCACGGAGCAAGGATCAACAACTTAAGCACTGAAAAATTCTCTAAGGAGAGTGGGATTCAAAAAACCCAAATAAGTTAAACCTTTATTTCTATTTAGATCTACTCGTATAATATTGAACCGTTAAAATAGCAAAACCCAATCATACATAGATAAAACATCGCCGATGAAAAGACAAACAAATAGATCCACGTTTACTTTTTAATGAAGACAAAATTGGGGCTGAAATCATGGCCCTATTGAATAGAAAGCCCATGATGAAAAATATGTAGGTTTTAACCTGGGAACTTCTTTTCTTCACAATTTGTATGCTTCAATTCTCATTTGGGATCATTACAAATACATATTTGAGCACTTATTTGTGTTTGTTTTTTCAAAAACTATTGAATCGGAGAAGGGAGCGGAGGTGACATTAGACATATGTTTAACTTGGAATGGCCTTATATCTTTGTGTCTGATAAAATTCTCAGTGCAAAATAGGTTTCATAACTTTAACTGATCAATCAATATAATTATATGATATTATTTTTCTCCGTTTATTAACAATGTGTTTTGTATATGTTATGATTTTAGACACTTTTCTTTTAGATTACAAAGCAAGTCATTTTATCATTAGTGGGAGCTACTGTCTCGGAAACAAAGAAAGAGAAAGGTATGCCATTTGCAAAACATAAATACATTTTTAATAGCGTGTACATTCCAAAGGAGGTTAAGCTACCTCTCTTAAAAGAACTTGTGCGTGAATTATGGTCCATTAAGTTCTCTCTTCGTAGTATTTGACTTGGTGTGCTACATCAAGGAGGATTGGCCCTCAGAATCGAAGTCGATATTTTCCAACAATGAAAACGCCGAAATGTCGTTATTTTCTGAAATCATGACCGATTGTAAATTCAAGAGTTAAAAATATTTGAGCCAATATCTCATCATTTCATCAGGCATATTGCTCTCAGGTATGATGTCTGCTAAATAATGAAAACGGGATGAAACATTCAAGATAATTTAGTGATCAATTTCCTTTTAAATGATTTAAAGCACCCGGGCTTTTTCAAATATAATTCTAATATAACTGAAAACATGTTAAATTTGATCAAGGTATTGTGTCTGTGCTGACCTTACTCAACCCTTCAAAAGTTCCCTTAAAAATAATTTTTTTAGTGATACTGTGTAAAATCTTCTGCCATTTGTGAAAAGAATTGAAGACCAGAACTCAAGGCAATGTGTTTTGATTCATTCATCTAATGCGTTATTTTCTAGACTTTGCAATCAAGGTCTGGAAAATACACCTTCGAATGAATCACCCCACAATGCAATGAGGATGAGGATACCGCGTGACCAAATCAATACCAACAATGAATTTGGGAGACCCCCTGACATTGGAAATAAATCAATGATGACATAAATATCATAATGCTATAACCCTTCCTTTTTTAGATGGAACAAGAAATTTTGTGATTAAAACAGAAACAAATGAATTGGAGTTGAAAGCGAAGACTCCTGAAGTAAAAGAAGCCTGGATGCAGCGCATACGAAACACACGTGTGAACAAACAGGTATCGACATTATTCTGACTAGGGTTCTTGATGGATTTGCCTAAAATATGGATCTCATATAACATGATGTTCGATGCACTAGATCTAGTGGCTTGAATCGTAAATGCTAAAAAGCCTGGTTAAACTGAAAAATGAATGATGATAATGTAAATGAATGATAACCATTTTTTCTCTTCATCTCCTTCCCTATTTTTATGTGTAAATATTGCTCAGACATGAGTCTAACTGACATTTTCTCATATATAATTCTTTCCTTTTGTATATTTCATAAAATAAAGGACATGTAAAGGATCCATACAATGTAACTATATGTGTATATATACCATTATTGGCACTCTATAGACTTCTTAAAAGATCCTGGTCCTTTTACACTTAGAATATATACGTGGTCTCTTGCATGTTCAAATCTACTGCTGTTCGACTTAACCAGAATATGTATCCATAACTTTGAAGTTCCTCCAATGTAACAGATTATATGGCCAAAATCTCATAATGACCGGTCAACTTTCCTAAAATCGAAGAAGTGCATTGGATATTTTAGAAATTATCAGAAAGTTACGAACATGGGGAATTCAAACAACAATTGAAACCAAAGCTCGTATTTTATACAGATGCATGAGCTGGCGTGCCAAGTTGAAGAGGTGAAAGACGTTGTGAAACAGAATGTGGTTAAGCTCGAGGACAGGGGAGCTTCAGTGGAAAACTTGACAGAGAAGGGCGAGAACTTGAATAAACAGGTACCTGCCCTATATATTTCTTTACTGGTTCAGACTTACTGTTGATCGGATGGTTATTTCAAAAACGTAGAAAGGGAAAGAGCTCCATGTAAGCGTATATATAAGGGTTTAAGAGTAGATGCTAGTCTAAATCTAGCTGAAAAGGTTATCTCTCGTTATTCTTAACCATGATTATGCCGTTGATTTTGCTACCTTTCCAATAGTTTTTTGTGATTATGCTTTACCTAAAGATCCTCAGCTAAAGTGGGTTCCATCATCGGTTGTAATATAGCCAGGTGGCGCAAATGTGATCTCATGAAATTCATCATAACGCCTAATTAACAGATAATAATCTCATAGCCATGTAAAACATAATGAAAATATTAATTTTTTTATTAACCATTCTTTTTCAGTCGGAAAGCTTCCACAAAACAACAAAGAATTTAAAGGAGGAGATAAGGCTACCCTGGTATAAAAAACTTTGGAGGTGGTGTCTCCCGAACTGTTGTTGTTGCTTTCAAGTATGTTACAAATCTAAACTTTGTAACCCTTGTTGCGCACGCATGTGTTCATGTTGCATTGATGACGACACACGGAAAGAACAATATGAACAATCCATGCAAAATGAAATGAAACCCTTGAAAAAAGGTCAACGAATAAAGAGGGGGATCGGAAAAGGTGTGGATGATATTAAAGAAGAAGACATTGAACTGGCATTTAAGCAACACGCAGAGTCTGATAAAGTATGATCTATTACATACTACAATAGTTGACATAAATAATCAAATACAAGTATAAACAATTTAATCATAAAATCCTCCCATTGTTTATGAATATTTTTAAACGGGATAATCAGCAGATCATTTTGGAGGATATGTCTTGTATCTTTTAAGAATTCTCAAATGTAATTTTACTCAACCTTTTCAATACACGGATTGAGCAATGAAATATTGATAGCGAATATGACTGCTAGATGGATTACATGATTGTTTTGTATGCTTCTCAAAATATGGTCTTGGTGAATCCTTAACCCTTGAGCTGCTTTGCAATATATTCTCAAATAAAGAAATAAATGTGATGAATAAATAAATAAATACATACGAAAATGACAATTAAACCAAAGCAATCGGCTCTTTAATTGTAACCCTACTGTCACCATCTTGCTTCATCAAGCCTCGGACCTATTCTCATGTGTGCATATCGACATGGTGCGACCTGAACGAACTGCGATGGACGTATCGAAGACTGCTTATGAACGAAGTAGCTAATTATTTTAGACACATTTCCCGACCACAGCCACAATTGCCCCATTTTACGACTTTTTATCGGACCTAAAATAGGTACGATCGATATTGTCGTCAGCTTGGCGGTCGGACGGCGTCTCTTTTCGGAAGTCATCTTGCATTCTGGTGGCCATTTCGGAAGTTCTTAGATAAATCTTGTCATCGCGATTACAGGAAAACCACTTGAACGATTTACTTCAAATTTTTACACATGTTACATGATAAGACGTTCTAGAGCTGTGGAACTTATATGTGGCCATCTTAAAGTACGTCCTATCCGTTCGTACAAAGTTTAAGCCCGTTTTCGAGAATGTAGTGAGAACTAGTTTGGTGTGAGAGTAGAGTTAGAAAATGTTGATAAGCCTCTAAGTTCTGTAACACCTTCCCGGGCGTCAGAACATATCCATGAAATTCTTCAGAAGATCGTACGAAATTTAATCCACGCCAAGCTCGTTCTGGCTTGAGCAGTGTCGTCTGATGTACTTTTGATAATTACAGGGTGGGCCAAAAAGCAATGGGAATGAAAAAAACATGGGATTTTACATGAATTTATTCAGTCAAGTTTATTGAGTGCAGCTATGCAACCTCGCTACTGCAATATGGAGGGAAAGGATGGGTATCGATATGGTGAACTTTTTGAACACACGTTTCTCTTAAACCAGTCATCAAAAAATTCTGAAAATTTTACACATCTTCAATTAAATGGTCATCTTTTGAATGGTAACAATATAATTTGAAATAAATATATATACTTTTCCCTATATTGTTTTAGAAAACACATCAGACACTTCTTTTGCTCTTGGTATCATATGTTCGGAATGGACTGAAACATCTATCCGAACCTCATGGAACAAAATGACATAAACATAACATGTTTAGGTCTCTCAATATTGTAATTGTACAAAGGAAAGTTTGGTTGATTTAAAAAAAGTATCTTGTTAATGAAATAAAAGGTTTGTCTTATCTTTATCTATTTTGGGGGTTTTTGTTTTAATTTTTTGAATACTTTTTGTTAAATCAACCAAAATTTCCTTTGTATAACTATAATATTGAGAGGTCTAGGAAAATGTTGTATGCTATTTTGTTCCAGCAAGCTTCGGAAAGATGTTTTATTTCATTCTCAAGAATTGGTAAAAGGGAACGAAAAGTAATTGCCCTAAAAACAAAAAATGTTGACAAAAACCGTTATATAAAATATATATAAATAATTTTCGCATCAAATTGTTGTCAATCAGTCAAAATTACATAAAGGACCGTGTTTTTTTACAGAATGTTTTCAATAATTGGTTAAAGAGAAAAACATGTCGATACCAATCCTTTTGGATTTTCACTTTTTGATTATCAAAGGTTACCATTACGCCTGCTTCTCAAATAAGTATAGCATACCTTTACTGTTGATTTTATAACATAGTGTCACATACTAATTTAATAATTTAATTGAAAATGAATTACCTTTAAAATGATATATTGAAGTCAATGAACCATATTGAACATAAATATTTTTATTCTGATTTAAAGTGGGGTATTGGATTTTTGGACCACCATGTCTATATAGTTCATTTACTTTTAGAAAATATTTAGTGCAGCTAGCTTCCTCCTTTGAATCGTCAGAATATATGTTTCTCAATTTTGAACGTGGCCAAGGTAAAACTAATTTAAATCTGTTCAACTTTCTACTTACGTGCACATACGGGAAAGACAAAATGGGTTACGCTGTCCTTACTGTGTTATAGCCACATTTTATTAAGGACGGTACTGACGTAAATATCTCTAATGGACATTATGGACCTGTGCTATCCTGGGATGAGTAGCAATTGCTTGTACATTACAATTTACCACGTGATCATGACGTCTCCCTAATTACACACCCGAAGGTGGATTAACCTTTTGCGAGTATTTCTATAAAACATTGATATAACTTATTTCGATTAATCACATTAATTTAACATTGTCTTACTATGTATTTACCATCATTGTTTCCGTATATGCATCCGATTGGTATTTCTATTTTCTACTCCACGTTGAATATCGGGATATAAAAGACTTATTTTTTCACTCGCTGGCTACAAACTTCGGCACAGGACAGTTGGCAGAAACAGTTTGTTAATCAATAGGGACCGTCAACACCTTCAAGCAGAAAGTTTTGTCAAAGTAAGTTTTAAACTCATATATGAAGTTAATTTAAATTGAGGAAATTGGGGATTGGTTTGGGGTCTTTATTTGATTTGATCTTTTTGGTGAGATTGTATCATGTCTTGGTTTTTAAATTAAATCAAATGAAATTGCATTTAAATATTATGTTGACTATTATGACTCAACATGGTAATCGGAAAGTTTATTCATAGCAATACTCTAAGAAAACCAAACGTTGTTTTGTAAATTATATTTTTTCTTTTCTTGTATCTGAAAAATACAAACTCATATCAAAATACAAACAAAATCATTTTCGACATTTAAAAGAAGTGAAATCATAAAAGTAATTTTGATAAACTCAGTTGTTGACGTTTATATGTGGATTCAAAACATCCAGGTTGTCAGACAATTCAACTCATCCATTCTTGTTAATGTTCGTATTCTCAAAATTTTAATGATATGAGTATTTTTTATCACATTCTTGTAAGAAGAATAACTTTAAGATATACTCATTCTGTATTCTTCTAAACCAATATAACGATGTTCATATTTTGTAACATACAATGTACAGAGGTTATTTAATGGAAGGGATGGGATACGAATTTTATTCCGAAGGAAAATATGACATTGGCTAAGGAAAATATATTGACCGAGGGCAATAGCCATTCAGACACTATGGGTTCGAATGCAAATAAACGGTGTATATGAAAATTATGAAACTTTTTTTGGCCTAACCTGAGTCCATTTTCTAAAAATCAATTCTATTCCCAGTTTATTTCCCAGGTAAAACATGTCATTATGGAATAATTGTATAATATTCCCTGAAGTCAATGAATAACACTGGGGTGTTATTTACCGATCGAGAACATAAAATTCCATCTAGCAGTTTACTAAATATACAGATACAATAAGTGACTTCGTTGTTCACCAAAATCAAATTCATTGACTCAAAAACATATGAAAACATATTTAACAATCACGATCTGTAATCCATGTATACTCACTGGTGCATGTAGATTTTACATTATTAATTAGAAGACAATGGGTATTATTATATACCCAATATGTAACACTAATCCTGATTGGTCAATACCTAGTCACGTGTTCCGAAATAGATTTACTATTTCCCTCGGAAAGTTATATTCCCTCAAATGTGACGTCAGCGGGAATATACATTTGAACTATTGCCCGCTGACGTCACAATTGCAAGCTCTATTACCCTTGGAAACGTCTGCTCATCATCACTGCGCAGACGAAAGACAGAAAAATGGAGGATGAGCACAAACACAAATCAACTCCGTTCACCATGACAGACGTGCGTGAACGATACAATATAAGCAACGTGTACAAAGTTCCCTAAGCTCAATACGTCTGTGTAATTTCAAGTGTTATGATAATCTATTCCGCGTGTTAAACGCGATTGAATTTGTCAAGTGAGAGTCTCAGAGGCAAAAATTTCTGTTGAGCATCTGATGACGTCACAGCTTATAATGCTAACAATGGACCCGGGGAGGGGGCTTTCTAAGCCTTTTTGGCCTTCGCAGAGGAAACGGGACAAGAGTCAGTATAGGGTATATAATAAAACAAATAGTGACTGCCTAATTTCGAGCAATAGTGTAAATGATTTCCCCTTGGGAATATCCTCTACAATATACTATTCCCTCAGCCTGCGGCTTCGGGAATAGTACATTGTAGAGGATATTCCCTCGGGGAAATAATTTACGCTATTGCCCTCAATGGCAGTCACTATTTGTATAATATCCTATGCTTTACAGTCATATACAGGGTGACACAAAAAATGACACCCACCCACATAGTGTTGCATAACTTTTTTGTCTGACTTGTTTTATGGCATGTTATAACTGGCATCCATGGTGCAACTCCACAAGAAGTTTCAGATGCTTTATGAGCGTTACAAGATGTGTAGTCTATTCCTTTACAGGTACAGTACACCTGGATTTTACATAAAAAGTGACACCTCCTTTTGTAACATAATCTTGAAAAAAGAGTTATAATGATTTTGTCAATGACTACGATATCATTTTGTGACTAATTGATTGGACTTTCTTTCCCTGTAAGCACAAGCAAAATTTTTTAGTATTTACAAAGTTATGTTACAAAAGGTAGGTGGCATTTGCTGTGTAGAATTCAAGTGTGCCTGCAAAGGGATGGGCGATATTTAGAGCAAATCTTGTAACGCTCATAAAATTTGACCCCCTTGAGCAACACATCTGAAATTTCGAGAGGTGCTTTTGCAATATGTCTTCTTTAAATGTGTCAAAAGACAAGTATATATGTTTATAGACAAAGAAGTTATGCAACGTAAGGTGGGTGTCATTTTTGTGTCACCCTGTACTTCAATATTTATCAGTAAATGAGAGGGATCGATGCTAGTTTGATTTGAACCCAAAGGGGAATCAAGGGATGATTAAATATATTTATTTCACAAAAATAGCCCAATTGTACATCATTTTATCAAATTTTCAAATGAAAAATAACATTCATTGCATTGATTATTTGAAATTGTATAGTTACAAGTAATGACGCCATGTTACTACATTTTACTAGAACACTATCACAATAGGTAGTTGTACTAAACATGTTTAATAAGCCTTGTAGCTGATCCCAATTACATTCTCGCCTAAAAGAGGCGCTGTCAGATAAATGTTTAAGTGAGGACAATTTTATAACCCCTGGATAATATTACACGAGATAGGAGGTGAGATTCCTGCCGATATATCTACAGGGTGAACATAAAATGTCCATATTTTCTATTTGGCGATAACTTCGAATTCTCTAAAAATCCAGACCACTTCCGCTGCTAAAATGTATTTTCTGAATAAGAAAAAGTGAACAGACCCAATGGGTCTAAATGCAAATAAAAGTTGTATATGAAAAATAAGAACGTTTCTTGGCCCACCCTGTACATATCACCTGATTGATTCGGACTGTTATAGTTAGTTCCATTTAGCATATTTACAAGCGGGATTAAGGACAACTATAATTAATAGGGTAGAATACTCTTACCTTTCTAGGGAGGCAATACCATCTGACACGGTTGACCCAAGGGAAATTCTTAGTTCAGGTGAATACGTCAACAATTCAAATTTAGAACGATCGAGCATGTGTGAAGAGATCAGTATCATCAATTTCGTCACATAAAACGTTTTCTTGGTGGATTTACATGTATTTGAGGTTTTTAAGATAATTATTGTATAATCAATTGATAATCAAGCTGCGAAGATTGTTTAGGAATGTGTCATGTTCATTTATATTGGCCCGCTCGGTCTATTTGTTTTCGTTTTTCTGCTATAAACTATTCTTTACTTCATTTATCACCTTTTACTCATTACTCTAAGAGCGAGGAGGAAAATTCTTAATAAGTGGAGTATAGTTGGTTTGGCAGCATTTTCAGTTAGAGGGAAGTCTTGGATGAAAATTCTACCTAGGTGATAGCTTTACAGAGTGGTACATAATTCTTTTTTTTCAGGGGTTAGCCCCCCACCCCCCAAAAACACCCCTACCCCGGAAAATAATTTTTTCATCTTCAATAATTTTAGATATCTTGATGTTTTTAAGTTACATACATAGACATTATATATATGAATCATTTGCAAAATAAATAATGCCAATCACTCCTACAGAATTTGAAAAATAGTAAAAAGTATGTACCCCAGGGGGCAAATTCGTGACCCATTTTTTACTATTTAGAGCCTCACTTTTCAATCAGACACTGGAAGACATTGAACAATTTCATGTGAAGTGCCCAGTAGCAGGGCTATAAGCCCTGAAAGGTTCAAACTAATTGAATTAGTAGGAGCAGAGAAAAAAATTGTTGATTTTTTGAAAAATTTGACATTTTTGAGAGGGGTGATTTTGTGTATGACTATAGCTGATGCCTATATTTCTCAGATCTATCCCTCTTTGATGATAAATATGGTTTTGAAGTATGGAACTAAGATGTAAAAAATAATTAAAATGGGTTTTAAGGAAGTTTCATGTTTTAAACAAGTTCAAAATTCCAAGAATTGTACAATATCAGGTCTGAATTTACAAATTTAAGGTAAGACCTTGGATGAGCCTTAGATTTTTTACATCTGTCCCCCTTTGGTGATATTTATGGCTTTGTTGTGTGGAACTAAGATGTACAAAATAATTTAGATGGTTTTTAAGAAGGTTTAAGGATTTTAACAAGTTCAAATTTGAAGAATTGTACAATATCAGGTCTGAATTTACGAATTTCAGGAAAGACCTTTGGTGAGCCATATATTTTTCACATCTGTCCCTCTTTGATGATATTTATGGTTTTGTAGTGTGAAACTAATATGTAAGAAATAACCTAGATGGTGTTGAAGAAGGTTTAAGGAATTTAATGAGTCCAAAATTTGAAGAATTGTATAATATCAGGTCTGAATTTACGAATTTAAGGTATGACCTTGGATGACCCTTATGTTTTTATATCTGTCCCTCTTTAATGATATTTATGCTTTTAAAGTAACGAACTAAAATGTAAAATATAATTTAGATGAATTTTAAGAATGTTTAAAGATTTTAACAAGTTCAAAATTTGAAAAATTGTATAATATCCGGTCTGAATTTACGAATTTCAGGTAAGACCTTTGGTGAGCCATATATTGTTTACATCTGTCCCTCTTTGATGATATTTATGGTATTGTAGTGTGGAACTAAGATGTAAAAAAACAATAAAGATGGATTTTAAGAAGGCTTAAGGATTTTCACATGTTCAAATTGGAAAAATTGTATAATATCCGGTCTGAATTTACGAATTTCAGGTAAGACCTTTGGTGAGCCATATATTGTTTACATCTGTCCCTCTTTGATGATATGTATGGTATTGTAGTGTGGAACTAAGATGTAAAAAAACAATAAAGATGGATGTTAAGAAGGTTTAAGGATTTTTACATGTTCAAAATTTGAAAAATTGTATACTATCCGGTCTGAATTTACGAATTTCAGGTAAGACCTTTGGAGAGCCATATATTGTTTACATTTGTCCC